ATGGCCCCGGGGACCTGGCTTTACCTCTCTGGGCCTCAGTTTCCTCATCTGTCAGCTGGAATTGCAATACTGGGCCCTCCTCACTGAGTACAGGTGAGACGAGCTCCACGCACAGAAGACCCTGGCTCCTGGGACCCTTAGCGAGCATGGACATTGGTTATTGTACGTTGGGGACCCCCAAGCCCCAGCCACCCCAAGAGACAAGATCTGCACACACATAGCACTGTGCCCGACGCTATGCCATGAAGACCCCCAGGGGGAGCAGTGACCCTCGGGCCCTCCCTCCTCAAGGGCCAGCTTCACTCTGTCCTTGGACGTCTGGCTCACCCCACAGTGACACCCATGCACGAGAGAAACAGCACTGCACTCCATCTTGGTCCTAGGGGACCGAGCCCATGGCTCTACCTGCTCCCTGCCGCCTTTCGGTCACCCCTCTTCTGGCGTGTGTGGGAAACTTCTCCCCACCCCACCCGACCCCAGGAGCCTGCCCAAGTGCTCAGCCCAGGAAGGGCCAGTTCCCAAACCGTCAGAGGCTGGCAGCCTCTCCTGTGGGGTCCTGGCCTCCAGATCCCTGTACCCACCTGCCACTCCCTGGCCCAACTCCCTTCTTAGGCTGGTGCCTCTAAGACCTTCTCTTGGACCCTTGCTCCTGGCCCTCCAGGCTGGTCTTTTTGTATCAGCTGCAGCAGAATTTTGGGGTGGGTGGATATCACCATCCTGGAGGCCATCTGAGGGGCTGGCAAGATGGGCACCACCATGCCAGAGCCCTGAGGCCTCTGATGCAGCCTGCAGGCTCTTGATGGCCCAGGCCCAGGCCACAAGTGCCGCGCCTGGTGCTGGCGAGGAGCAGGAGCCTGTAACCTGTCCCCACTGGGACAGCAGGCTCACATTCCCCAGGGCAGTGCTGGGGCCCCATGCGGACACTGCGTCCACGCCAACAGGTGGGGCCACTGAATAAAGTGCCCCAGCGGCCACAGGAAGGAAACAGACCTTGCAGAAATTCCATCTCCAGCTGTCCGTGATATGGCCACAGCGAGGTCACAACTGACCAGACCTGCAGGGGGACACTGAATCCCCAGAGGCTCACATGGCTCTCATCATCATCTCCTCTATAATATATTAAGGAAGTGCAAAAGAGACGGGTGCCCAGCCATGCCAGCTGGGCACATTCACCTGGGCAGGACACAGCGGTGCTGCTGGGCACACAGGAAAGAGACACTCCCGCAGAGTCACCTGGGTCAGGTCTCAGGGGTCCCCGAGCATGGGGCATAGGGGACACGTACAACCCTGGGGAGAGACCCTCAGCTTTCCCTGCCAGCTCCCTTCCCAGGACAGAGGGCATGAGGGTGTTGAAACAGCCAGTGGGCAACTCAACGCCAGAGGGAAGGCTGAGTGCCCTCCATTCGACCTGGAGTGCTGGGACAGAAGGAGCACAGCCAGAGATCTTATCCACCTGAGCGAGAGACCCGACTCACCGCCAAGCTGCAGCCCCCTGCTGGACACGGCCAGGATGGGCCTGGGTGGCACCTGGAGCCAGAAAGAAGTGGCTTGAATCCTGCCTCTGCCACTTCCTGGCCAGGCAATCTAGTGCAGTGACTTCATGCAGCTGGCCCTCTGTTTTTCCACCTCTAAAATGGGAGTCATAATCATCCCGCCCCGCAGGCATGTTCAGAAATCTGACTTGTCTCTACCACGATGACCTCACAGCTGATGGAGCACTCCCCGACGAGACAGATTCCTAGAGAAATGAAAGCAGGGGTGACAGGTCTGTCCCTGAGGCCTGAGGGCTCACGCTGCTACACAGGAAGCCCTGGAGGGTCAGAGCTCTTAAAACACCCATCCAAGCTGGGCGTGGAGGTACACACGTGTCATCCCAAGACTCGGGAGGCTGAGACAGGAGGATCATGCAAGTTGGAGGCCAGCCTGGACTACATAGTGAGACCCTGTCTCCAAAAAAAAAAAAAAAAAAAAAGAAAAAGAGAAGATAGGGCTCAGTGGCAGGGCTGGGGCACAGCTGCAAGTCAGGAACCTTAAATTGAGAGATGCTGTGGGCTCAAGCACCTGACCTCCCCGCCCTCTAGCTCCTCCTCCCCGGCCCCAGGACACAGGAGGGGCAGCCCACCCTGCCCCAGCGACTCCAGTCCTCCCAATGGGAAGCTGGGGAAAATCCCTCCCTTGCCATATAAGGCTGGGCCCGAGGCCTGGGGTCAGCTACCACACCCTCGGGACGCTGAGAATGCCAGCTATGCAGAGGGAGTAGGAGGTGCTCGCTGGTCCAGTAGCGCAGACACACGCAGACACACACACACACACACACACACACACACACACACGCACATGCACGGGGTATGGATGGGGGCTGCACCCACAGGAAGGGCCAGAGAAGCTCCAAGAGATGAAGCAAATAGTCTGGGTTCAAGCCGTGGCTGTTTAAACCCAGGCCATTCGCTCAACCTCTCTGAGCCTTGAGTTCTGTGAAATGGGAGTAGGAGGCCATGGCAGGGTCAGAGTGAGCCTTCAAGGAGAAAGAGCCCACAGCGTGCCTGGCGTGGGGCTGCACATTCCAGGTACCCAGGAGACCACAGCAGAAAGGGAGACTCAGGTGCCTTCGTATAGCCTACTCCACAGGGCCGCTAGTCTCACTCAAATCTTCTCCCATGTTGACTCTTGAATCCTTACAATAACAACTGCAAGCCAGGTGTGGTTACACATGCCTGTGATCCCAGCACTCGGGAGGCTGAGGCAGGAGGATCAAGGTGAGTTCAAGGCCAGCCTGAACTAGACATCAAGACCCTGTCTCAAAAAAAAAGTTTTTAAAACAACAGTTGCTAAGACTGAGCTACCTTGCTGACCTCTGGACACTGGTACACACCAAGGGGAATCGGGGTGCTGGCCGAAAGAGGCCCCCAGAGCTAACAGCCCAGCTGGGCTCTGCTCCACATGCCCCACGGCTGGGCACAGCAGCCGGTCATACCACCGTCATGCAGGCGGTCATGACTCCCCATCCATCACCCATGGCACAGTCCGGCCTCCAGGAATCCACATTCCACTGTGGCAGTGAAGCTGAACCCCAAAAAGGCAGCGCAGGCTGCTGACATGTACGACTCCATCTCCCCTGAAGACTCGGGAGACCTGAGAGGGCAGGGACCACTGCAGCCTGGATGGGCCACCTCATGTCTCACCCCTGCACCTCGAGGTCCCAAGCAAACAAGTGAGGCCAATGACAGGAGCCGCCTACGCTCTACAGAGACAAACTTGCTGAAGGCGCCCAAGCAAAGCCGAAGCCACCGCCATTATCTGTTCTTGCCAAAGGAGGCTGAGAGGGTCACAGCTTGGCTAAGGCCACAGAAGCAGCGGCTGGGTGGCCCGTGGCCACTGTGACCTGCTGGGTGGGGACAGCACTGCAGCTGCCAGGTTGGCCCTGGAGCTTCCTCCCTCCGGGGGCCGCATGCTGGCCCAGCCTGGCAGCAGCCTGGGCTCCGTGGTGGGCTCAGCAGCATCCGAGCAGGGGAGACACACAGCTGTGACTCTGCACTGGCTCCTGTGTGGCCTCCGGTCATCTGTTTGCCTTCTCTGGGCAGAGCACTCTTGTTCACCCTCCCCGGCCCCAGTGCTGTTCCCCTCCTCCTATCCGAACCAAACCCCAGCCCCCTTGGGAACCTGCACCCCTAGCTGCCTCCCAGGCCAGGTTGGCAAGGAAAGTCCCAAACACTCTCAGCTCTTCTGTGTTGGCCAACTGCGGCCACCTGACCCCATCTCCAGCTACCTTTGGCTCGGGTTTCTGCTGGCTGGACTCAGCCAGCTCAGAATCCACCCGGCCGAGTGGCCCAGGGGGCTGGGTGAGGTCAGGGTCCCGGGCTCCTGTCCAGACCGGACTGGCGCAGCACGGACTGGGAAGGAGCCCAGCAACCCGGGCCCTAGAGCCCAGCCAGACGTCGGGGCAACCTTTCAGCCATGCCCAAGATGGCATGGAGAGCCAAGGAGAAGGTGGCAGTGCCCGGAGCCCACCAGGGGACTCTTGGAGCCAGTGCTTGACGGCAGGCAGGCTGCCCGGTTTGAGGCCATCCAGGACACCCAGGAGCAAATCAAGTCTTCGAGCCACTGCCAAGACTAAGTGGCTCAGCTCAGCCTGGCCAGCACCCACTCCCCACAGCCTTAGCCAGGGCTCTGGCAGCCCCACTAGCTGGGTCCCACTTGGCACCCTGAATGGGCTCAGCCTCACGATGTCCAGGGTTGCAAATGAGCCAGCAGGGGGATGCCCAGCCTTATTGCCGTGGGCACCCTCTGCCACCTGTTAGGAAGGAGGATGGGAGACCTCCTCCTCTGAAATAACTCCAGTGGCCTCCACAGGGCTGCCCTGAGAGCAGGGCGCTGAACCAGACCAAGGGCGCCTCAGGGACCCTGCTCCAGGTTGAGAGACCCCTGCGTTGGACCACAGGGCTGGACCGACAGCAGCCAGGTCTGGGCCCAGGTCTGCCTGAACCTAAAGCCCCCTAGACCCGAGCTGTGCCTCCTCTGAGCTTTGGACCATCTTTAGACCCTGCCACCCTTCCGTATCTCCTGGGATCTACTGGCCATTAGCCCAACTCCCGCAGCCCATTGTGTGCCAAGCAGCGACCTGAAGGAGTTCTTTTATTCACGAAGTTCGCTAGGACTGACCAGAGAAAGAGAGTTCAGAAAAGTTGGAGAGAAGGACTTGTGACTTCCGCGGGGGACAGGAGGCCACGGGGAGCCAACTGCCAGTGCTTTCGGTGGTGGAGGCAGCGCTGGCCCGGGGGTCCCTTCTGGCGCCAAAACTCCGCGCGAGTCCCGGCTGCTTTGCAGGGAGCCCCAGTCCGGGGCGGCCCGAGCTCCGGGACCGGCCCACCTCCCAGCCCGGGAGTAAGAACGTGCAACCCGAGCCGCGGCTGGGAGGTGGGGCGGACCTACCTGAGTTGGAGGCGCGCGGCGGGGGCCAGGGCTGCAGGGGGAGCCTGGGGGGCACCAAGGTGCCGGCTTACCCGGTTGATCTCCGCCAGCCTCCGCTCCTGCTGGGCTTTGAGCAAGCCGAATGCCTTCCCTCCTGCAGGAGACAAAGGGTGGCGGGGAAGCGGGGGCGCCGAGGCCCTGCGCCCGCCCGCGCCGTCCCGGGCCGTGGCTGCCCAGCTCGCACAGGTGGCCCCGACCGGCGGCGCCTACCTTGGAACCTGTTGCTGAGCGCGACCGACATGGCGAGCGCGAGCTCCCGCCGTCTGGGCTTCGCGGCCGCGGAGGGACCGGACGACGGGCGCGCGGCGGGAGGCGGGCGAAGGAAGCCGGCTGGGGACCCGCCCTCCGGCCCCGCTGGCCCCGCCCCGACCCTGTCCCGCCCTTCCCGCCTCCGGCCGCGGGCAGCAGAGCCGAGGTTCTGGGGGTCGCCCCTCCGCGGTCGCCCCTCCTCTGCACCCGGGCCGGACCTCAGCGAGTCCACGGGGCGTCTGAACACTCACTTCCTGGGATGTCCAGGGCAGGGAGCGAGCGCTCAGCCAACCCAGGCCTGCACTTCAGTCACTGTGCCCCATTGCCACCCCAGCGCTTTGTCAGTGAGGTGAACTCGAATCTTATTGATAAAAATCTGCTTCCTGGGTGCTCACTGTGCACCAAGCACTTGGCACTGTCAACCAGTCATTTGATTCTCAAAACTACAAAATAGCCAAGCCTAGTGGTGCACGCCTGTCATCCCAGACTTGGAAGGCTGAGGCAGGAGTATAACACCGAGTTCCAGGCCAGCCCCGACTACATAGTGAGACCTTTTCTCAAAAAAAAAAAAAAAAAAAAATCGAAACTACGAAATAGGACTAGCTGTTCCCATTTCACAGAAGGGAAAAGTCAGGACGCTGAGCCTGAAGCCTGGAGTTGAAGCTCACCCGGACTGTAAAGTAGCCCGGAACACTAGGAGGAGCAGGGCTCAGGAGGCAAGAAGTGGGGACCTGTAGCTACTGTGATCACGGAGTCTGGTGTCCAAATCAGGACAGGGGAGTGAACGGGGCTTTCCTAGTAATTATGCTGGGGGCACAGGCAGGGCTGGGCTTGTCCCCACCTGGCCACTAGGAATGCACCCCCCCACACACAGAGCCCCCTTTCCTGCATGCTTGACTCCATCCAGACCCCTAGGAGGAGGACCCTGGCACCAGCTGATTATTTTCTGACTGCCCTTGGGGAGTGAAGTGGCCAGGCTGTCCTCAGAGAGGGGTGGGCAGAATGAGATAGTGCTAAGGACATTGCCACTGTTCGTGGTTATTGGGAGATGTCCCCTCCAGAGGCCAGGAAGGGCATGGATGTACCACAGGGCCCTCATAGCTCCACTTCTGGTCCAGGTCCAGGTGCCCTACTGCCCTGACCAGCTGGCTGGTTGGCCCTGGTCAGCCATCACGTGGGGGAGGGCCAGCCCACCTTCTGCTGCTCAGCTGTGGGGGTGCATTGCTAGCCAGATGTTCAGCAACTGCCTCATTCCACCCGCAGTGAGCAGCCCCACCTTGGCCGGAGAGAGGTTCTGCATGCACCAGGCATGATCCAAGCCATGAGTCAGCTATCAGGCTGAGGTTCGTCACTGGGGATGCTGGGACAGGGCTTGAATGGATAGCGCTCGGATGCCAGGAGCAGTCGTCAGAGAGAAAGTGGGTTGGGAACAGGGGGCATCAGACCCTGTCCCTTGGCACTGCTTACATACCACATCAGCTCACCCTTAGTGTCCGCCACATCCCTCCAACCCTGAACCCCACCAGTGGGTGGGAAGCACAGGCCCTCTGGTTACATGGCCTCAGAACAAGGGTGGGGGACCTGACCGGGCTGGGCCAGTCTCTCTGGGATGCTGGAATCAGGCTGGGCTGTCTGAGAAGCACTGGGCCCAATGGCCTGTAAACCTAGGGGCTTGGAGGGGACTGGAGCTTTCCTCTTCCATCAACTGCTCAGCGCAGAGGAGAGACACCAGCAGAGAGGGAGAGGGGGGAGGGGAGACAGAGAGAGAGAGAGAGAGAGAGAGAGAGAGAGAGAGAGAGACACCAAGAGGGAGGAAGAGGGAAGCAGCCCATCCCAGCAGCCTTGGGCTCCGGCCCCAGGCTGTCGACCAGGCTGGGTGGCCTTTCCGGCCCCCTCTTCCAAGAAGCCTCCCAGTGGTCTTTTCAGCTCAAGCCAATTCAGGACGAATTTTGGCCTGGTGGCTCCACCATCTCAGACCTGAGGGTGGGCTTCCAGAGTGACCCTGTAACCCTGGCCGGGTGCCCGCCATCTGATCTGGGACCTGCCCCCTTCGCCTCCCACCCTTCCTCTCCCTCGTCACTGGTGTCCCTCCCTGGTTCTGGCTGCGGCTCTGGACAGAGTTTTGAGGTCAGTTTCCTGCTTCCCTGTCTTCACCCTGAAGCAGAGGTCAGCTGGGGGCCTCTCCATACCCCACCTCAACTCCCCCAGGCCCCAGACTGGCTGACAAGTCCCTGTTGCTAAGAGGAGGGGGGTGCCTGTGGTCACGGGACCCCCAAAAGCCCCCCAGTGGGCACAGCCACAAGGTCAACTCCTGCCCCTTCCTTCTGCGATGTACGGACACCAAGATCATCCACTGCCCGCTCTACCTACCAGTGGGGCCACCTACAAGCTGTGCCCCGTGGGCATCTCCAGCCCTGCCCGGCTGCCCCCCAGCTGTGAAGGATGGAAGACAGCACCCGGCTCAGTAAAGGGTCCTTTATTTCCTCACAGGCAGAACTGATCCATTTGCCACCTGTTTGCCAGATGGGGACAAGGGAGCCACGGAGGGACTGTGGCCACAGAGGCGCCTGTCATCTGGGTGCCAAGGCCCTGCTGCCTGCCAGAAGAGGGCCCAGGACTGGGCAGGAGGAAATGCTGGGGAGTCCCAGGCAGGGTAGGACAGACTGGAATGGTGGCCAGGCTTCCACACCCTGCAGCCTCCTTGGCAGCGGGGGGGCGAGGGCTGGATCAGGAAGTGTCCGCCAAAGGTTAAGCAGGTGAGTGAGGGCACAGAGGGGAGTTTCTGTGGCCAGTTCAGGGGCCTGTGACCCAAGGCCTTTCAGACCCTCCAGGGCCTGGCTTTGAGCAAATTACCGGCTGCTGGGTGTAGGGTGACCTGGCGCCTGGGAGGGAAAGGTCCAGAAAAGACAATGATGTCCCTGCCAGGCGTGGGCCTGGCCTGCTGGCCAAGCAGCACTGCTCTGTGTGTGTGCGTGCACAGATGGATCTGAACACATGTGTGCATGATACACAGACACATATACATGCACAGGGGCGTGTTACTGACACCAGGGTGAGGAGCAGCTGTGGCACTGTGCCCGGCCCAGTACACAGAGAGCCAGGCAGAGGGTTCCAGGCTCAGTGCCCTCACTGCCGGCCAGCACAGAGCTCAGGCAGGCTGCGCAGGATGGCCTCCAGGTTCTGCTTGTCGGTGCGGATCTCGGCGAGGTCGCTGTTGAAGCCCTGGATCTGCAGTTCCTGCTGCTTGGACTCCTGCTCCAGCAGCCTCAGTTTTCCCTGAAGGGCCCCCTGTGAGCCCAGCTGAAGCCTCAATCCTTCCAAGGCCCTCTGGGTCTCGTTCAGGGAGTGGCCAGGGGCTCCGTGGGTATCCAGGGATCCTGCAGGGGGCAGACGCGGCCTCAGCAGGAGCTGGGTCCCCCGCTGGCCTTGGGAACCTGCTCAGCCCCATCCTGAGCTTGCTCCGGCTCAAGCTTCTAGGAGGCCGAATGCCAGGGAAACGGGGGACCTGGAGGCGCAGAGCCCAGCACCCCGTCAAGTCACTGCAGACTTGGGAGCTGTGCCCTAGGTGTCCCCGGGCGACTGTTCCCTTCGGGGGATGCTGCCACTATTGTTGCTTAATCGAGGCCTTGGGGAGTCTTCTTGGAGCCCAGTTTCCTCATCTCCCGGGACACGGATGGGCTGGGACCCTTGCTGGCCCAAACACACTGCATCAGTGCACCCTGAGAGTCCATGTGGGGTACCGCCTGGGTGTGGGGCATGCAGGGGTCACGGTTCTGGCTTTGGACGAGGGCTGGGGAGCAGACGGGGTGGGGAGAGGCTTCGGGCTGCAAGTAGGGGTCCTGGTCCCAGCTACTGTACTTCCGGTCAGTTCCCCTTCCTGGGATGAAGGAATCTTGCCTCCCTGAGCGGCAGGAAAGCCATGACCCACGTGCTCACACTGCCACGAGGTGGTGGAGATGGCATCACAGGCCGCCTCCCCACCCGGCCCTAAGTGTGACATCAGACAGCAAGATGGAACCCAGCCCAGTGGGCGCGGGGGTCATGGAGAAGTCAGGCCTACAGGATCCCTCAGGGCTTCTCCGAAGTTCCCAGGCCTGGGAGGCTGGGTCTGGGGGTCAGGAGAGGCCTCACTATGCCCGGGAGAGCCCCAGCAGCCTGGCCTTTGAGGAGACTGTGAATCAGTGCCAGCCACCGTTCCACCTGCCCAGGCGGCCTGGGGCTCCCAGGGGCAGAGGCCAGCTGTGTGCTGCTCATTCCCACGTCCCCATGTCAAGACTGGGGTTTGATTTATGAGTGGGTGAGTGAGTAAATGAATACAAACAACATTCATATGCCGTGGGGCGCTTGCAGCAGGCCAGGTGTCAGGGAAGAGTCACACGTGAACCACAGCATCCCCACTGACCAGCTGCGGGACCCTGGGAAGACCATCTAAGAGCTCCGTGCCTCAGTTTCCTCATTTGCAAAATGGCAAGAGAATAACTAGCAATGCTTCCACATATTCATAGCGATAATTAAAAACGGATGCCGTGGCACAGGTTGCCCTTGAAGACCTCATGTCAAGTGAAATAAGCCAGCCAGGAGGGACAGAGGTGCAGAGTAATTCTCCAGTCACAGGAGAGACAGCGGGGGCTGCCAGGGCTGGGACGGGAATGAGAGGTCCGTGTTCTTTGGTCTTTGTTTTTTTTGAGACAGGGTCTCCCTATACTGTTCGGGCTTGTCTTGAACTCATTGTGTAGTCGGGGCTTGAACTGTCAGCGATCCTCCTGCCTCAGCCTTCCCAGTGCTGGGGTGACAGGAGTGCAGTTCCACGCCCAGCAGGGTCCATGTTTACCGAGGGCAGAGTTGGAACAATGAGAAAGTTCTGGAGGTGGATGTGATGGAGTGTGACTGTCCCCAGTGCCACTGCCGTAGTTTGGCTCTGAATGTCCCTGAAGGCCACTTACGGAAGGAAGGCTTGGTCCCAGCCCAGGTGCACGGGGAGGGGCTTCCGGAGGGGCTCTGGCCTTAGAAGGGCTCCCTGGGCTGCCCTCGAAGGGGACAGGAGGACCCAGGCCCTTCCTGGCTTTCTGCACCCAGGCCTCCTGTGACACACGCTCCTCCCTCGGGATGGAACCCAGGGCCTGGTGCATGCTGGGCAAGCACTCTACCCCTGCGCCACACCCAGTCCAATCCCTTCCTCCTTTTGCACTGATCGCCTGAGGTATTTTGTGGCAGTAACAGAATGCTGACCAACACAGCCCCCGACTGTGCACTTACAAATAGTTACAACAGTAACCCTTACGTTTATGTTAGCACAATCGTACACAATGGTTCAGGCACAGTGGTACATGCCTAGATCCTTAGAACTCTGGGAGGCTGAGGCAGGAGGACTGCAAGTTCCAAGCCAGCCTGGGCAACTTAGTGAGACTCTGTCTCAAAATAAAAAATAAAAGGGCTGGGGATGGAGTTTAATGAATAGAGCACCCCTGGGTTTGGTCCAGAGCCCTGGAGGCGCAGGGGCTCTTCCAAGGGCACTGGCTCATGCACACATCTGGCCCCAGGATTGGGACGAGGAAGCCACAGAGAGGAGGACTGACAATAGGGCTTCCGGGAACTGTGACTCCCGGACAACAGCCAGGGACTCGGGACTCAGCCTTGGGGTCTCCTTACCCAGCCCAGCAAGCAGCTCTGCCAAGGCCTCGACGTCCTTCTCCAGGGAGACGCGCGATTCTCGGATCTGCTGCTCCATGGTGCTCAGCCCTGCACCCACCTTGGGGATGGGAACAGCTCGAGTGCCTCTGGCCTGGGTGCCAGGCCCAGGGGGATGGGCGGCTGGCACACCTACCTGCTCAGTTTCCTCCAGCCCCTGTCTTCGAGCCCCTGAGGTCAGCACTAGTCTCGAGGCCCGTTGGAGCGTGGCTTGTGTCTGGCTGGCCAGCTGGCTGGCACGGCGGTGCCCCTGTTTCCCATCCCGCAGCGAGCCCCTGGCGACCTATGGGTGGGCAGCGGCAGGGAGAGAAGAGGAGCCGAAGAGAGTCCTTTGGGTAAAGAGCTCTTGTGGGGGGCTGGGGATGTAACTCAGCAGTGCAGCACCTGCCTGGCAAGGGCGAGGCCCTGAGTTCAATCCCTGGTACCAAAAAAAAATAGAGCTCTCTAGTACTTCATACCCCAGAGCGTGGGTTTGTTCGTTCGTTCATTCATTCATACATCAGTGAGTAGCTTCTGGCTGCAGGCTAGGGCTGGGCACATGCCAACTTTTGAAATGACTCGTTTCTCCCCAGAGTGGGGAGCAGAGGCACAGAGAGAAAGGAGAGGCCAATATCTGCGGGACAGGAAGTCCAGCCTTCCCTTCGGTCCAGATCTAAGGACCGTCTACTTGAACTTGCAGTGACAGCCACAAGCTGAGGACTTGCATCCCGTAAAGAGGCCACAGGGAGACAGGCTCAGGTGTGAGTCCTGGTTCTGACTGAATTGTTTTGTTTGGGGGGCAGTTCTTGATATGGAGTTCAGGCTGACCTGGAGCTCACTATGTAGCAAGGCTGGCCTCAAACTTGCAGCAATCCTCCTGCCTCGGCCTCCCGAGCACTGGGATCACAGGTGTGTGCCACCACACCCGGCTATAACTTAATTCTGAGCCTGGCTGGGCCTCAGAGCCCTCACCATGTGCCATGGGAACTGTAGCAACACCTGTTTTCATGAGGAATCAACAGGGTCGCCCATGTGAAGTTGCCAGCCCAGTGTGGGGACACCAGCCTTTGGGAAGTGTGGAAGAGAGCAGATCTGCCCGGCAGTGTCTGCCCCACGGAAGGGCAGCCTTATCTGTCCCTACCACTGGCCCAGGAGGCAGGGAGGCCATGGCCCTGACCTTGGCATTGTCCTTGGCCAGCAGCTCTGCTTCTCTGCTCTTCTCTCTGGCCCTGGAGGACAGCAGTGCTGTGTTTCCCAGCATCCTCTCTGCCTGCTTGGTCTTCCTTCTCCCATCTGCCAGGAGCTGGTCTCTGACCATGCCTACTCTCCTCTGGAGCTCGGCCTGGTCCTCGGGCCCAGAAAACCACAGCTTCATTCCTGCAAAGCGGCCAAGGCTGTCACAGAGGGCTTTACGCCTGGGCAGCCCACCAGGCAGTCACCAGCAGGGGCTTGGCCAGCCCCAGGCCCTGGGCAGCATGACTGAGGTCCGGGATGCCTGAGGTTTCGTGGAACCCTCCCCGGCTTACAGGAAACAAACAAAAAGGAGCACCTCTAGCACTTTTCATTTTGTATTTTGAGACAGGGTCTCACTAAATTGCTAAGTTGTGGAACTTGTGATTCTCCTGCTTCAGCCTCCCAGAGTGCTGGGATGACAGGTATGGGCTGCCATGTCCAGTGTCAGGTCTGTTTTTCAGGTACCACGTTATTTCTTTTCTTTTTTTTTTTTTTAGTACTGGGGATCGAACTCCAGACCTTGCGCCTGCAAGACAGGCGGCAGAACCACTGAGATAAATCCCCAGCCCAGCACCATGTATTTCTGACGAGGCTTTGAGGCACTGTATAGTAACAGGTATGTCGAGAGCTTAGTATGGTGGGAATACCAAGAGCCATATGGAACTAGTGGGAGCTCAGGAGGAATGAGGAGCATCAGAAAATTAAGGTAATGACACTGCAGAAATCAAAGGCTCTGTTTATTTACCTCTGAGCTCCCAAGCAGCCAAACAAAAAAGGAAATGCTAGAATTTGCATGATTTGTATCTAGTAAGAGGTGATTTTACTTTTCATAAAGACAGACTTCTTCATTTTTTTTTCTTTTCGGTACCGGGGATTGAACTCAGGTCCTAGCGCTTGCAAAGCAGACAGCGAAACCACTGAGCTAAATCCCCGGCCCCCTTTTTTCTTTTTTTTTTTTTTTTTTTTTTTGAGACAGGGTCTGGCTATGTAGCCCAGGCTGCCCTTGAACTCACTATGTAGCCGAATCTGCCCTGAACTCATGGTGATCTTCCTGCCTCAGCCTCCCAAGTGCTGGGATTACAGCCATGCACTGCCACACCTGGCTAAGGGCCTTTAATATTCTGAAGTGTGCTGTGTGAGGCCTTAAGAGAGTGCACCTGCTGGAGGCATTTCGTAAGCTTTTTTGAACCTTCTCCCCTTGGCAGAACCTGTCAGAGGTTCGGGTCCTAGGCCACACCCTGGGGCAGCTGGCACAGCATCCATTTTCTTCACATTTTCCTAAGCACAGCCGGGGTGGCAGGAGAGGAGTCTGACACAGGCTGGGAATGGGAGAACAGGCTGGGGCTGGGGCTGGGGCTGGGAGCTGATGTCTGTGTGAATTCTCCAGAGGCCAGGAAGGCAGATTTGCACTCAGTACACGTAGAGCTCTCAGAACTAGAGAGCAGCGAGAGGTGACGCTGTGTGAGGAGTGAGTGGCCGGCTGGACCAGAAGCGAAGGCGTCAAGACCTGCATGATCCTAGTGTCTCAACTCACCCTACTCCACCATTGTGTCCCATGACTTAGGTCCCTAAATGCAGCCCTAGACACCCGGGCACAAGGAGGTTACCAGGACTTCAGGCCACCAAGGAACCCGGAGATGGGATGAGTGTTAGACCCAGGGCTGGAGCCACACCGGAGGGCAGGGGTGGGACCCAGGCCATGGCCAGCAGAGGTGTGGCCTCTGATCTCCGACCCTGAGGACCACCTGGCCTCAGGAGGTACTCCAGCCCTTTCTACCTCATCGGCTGAGGAGCCACAAGGGAGGCCAAGGCAGCCTCTCTGGGGCCCAGGTGGGAGGCCGCACAGAAGCCCATCCGGCAGAGGGCTGAGGAGGTGCAGAAGGGGGACCCTGGCTGGTTTCTGTCCCCACTCAGCTCCAACCTGGGGACGATCAGCAATGCTTTCTTCAGCCCTCCTGTCTGCAAGCTGGGAGCTCTTGGCCACATTTTCCTGACACTCCAAAGGGGCCTGGCCGGTCGTCACCCCACACCCCCGTCCAAAGAAACTTGGTCCCCTCCCCATGGCCCCAGCTCGACCTGGCTGGGGTGGGGCCAGCAGTATTTGCACCAGGTACCTGACCCTGCCAGAGGGGACTGGACCAGGAGCGGATGGCCAGCAGCAACTGATTCCCTTCCCATCCGTGCTGAGGGCTCCCTGCGGGGTCCGGTGGGACGGCCAGGTGGCCTGGCGCCAGGGGGCAGTGGGACAGAGACCCAGGAGCCATGGATGAGGTGCTGGGACATGGGGCAGCCCCTGGCTTATGCCCACAGGATGGGTCTGGCAGGGTGGGGTGGCTGCCAGGCATGGTGCGGGCCAGGGCCCAGGGCCAGCCAGGCACATGTACCTTCCAGGTCAGCCAGCAGGGTCTTGGCTCCCGTCACGGTCACCGTGGCAGCCTGGACAGACGAGGAAGCCTGGCCCAGAGCAGCTGTGGCCTCCTGGCGCAGCTGGATGGAAAAGAAGAGAGGCTGGACAGCTGCTGGGAAGAGGGTCAGGGGGCACCAAACCCATAGCAGTGGCGCCCAAGTGTCACCAGGGCCCTGGCACTGACACATGCTGCTTACCAGGAGCATTGGGGCTCTGACTACACAATGGTCACACCCCAAACCTCTCCTGGGGAGACTCCATCCCATAGCAGCTCTGAGACGAGGCTGTGTCCGCACAGAGCCGGCACTGTCCCTCTGTGGGCTGTCACTTTGGTCCTGCCTCCAAGTCCAACACCTGTACAGCGGGAGCTGAGCTCCCAGCCGAGGGGAAGCCGCTCAGGGAGCTGGGAATTCTGCGCTGACTTGGTTACCACTTCGTAAGTCTGAAAGTGTTCCCAAGTGAAGTTTTTCTGAAGAATTATCTAAGAGAGGCCTTTTACACTTCCATAGCGTGGCAAGTGCCACAGAGAAATCCATACGCCGAGATTCCCAAATTCCCCATCACTCAGTGCCAATTCCCCCTGCAGAGGCCAAGGCCAGGCTCCGGGGCTCAGCACGGAGCCCCAGGGGCTGCTCACAGCAGCTGCTCTCTAAACAGCTGGCACAGGAACTAAGGACTGCAGGAAGGAAGCGAAGCCGGGCATGGTGGCACCCGTTTGCTGTCATCCCAGCACTCTGGGAGGCTGAGACAGGAGGATCACAAGTTCGACCAGCCTGGGCAAGTTAGCAAGACCATTTCAAAATGAAAAATAAAAAGGGCTGGGGGTGGAGCTCAATATGAAGCCCCTCAGTTCAGACCCCCAGATCTGCAGGGGAAAAGAAAAACCAAACCTATCCCAGCTGTAATGGACACAGGGAGGCAGGCAGATAGGACTTCCATGCATCTGCTGTCCGCTGCCTGCCCTGGCTCCTCTCCTACTCTTTCCTCCCGACACAGATTCCCTCAGGGCCCAGGCTGCCTCTGAGCCACTTCCTGCCTCTGCCCTTGCCCCTCCGGCAGCCCTGTCCCCAGACCCTGTGGGGCTCCCTCCGAGGTCAGGCACTGACCTGCATGAGGGGCTCTGTCCTCTGCAGCACCACCCGGGCGGAGGCCTGGAGGGTCCCGGCAGCCTCCCTGGCCGTGCGCTCTCTCGATGCCACCTTCTGCTCCAGGGCCCGTGCTTTGGAGTCCAGGTCCCCGGGCTGGGGCTGCAGAGGTTGTGAGGAGTCTGGGGTCAGGTGAGCAGGCAGGGGCCGGGGTCCAGGCTGTGTCCCGAGGGCCTTTCCTGAGGGCGTGTGTGTGTGCACGTGTGCGGATGTGTGTGCACACATGTGCCAAGGCAGGGCCCACGCCCTGGCCAGCGTATTGCCATCACAGCTCAGTGTGCGCTGGGGGCCTGGGATCTCACCAAGACCGCCAGGCCTGCTCTGTCCTGGGATGAGTGCAGTCATGGCACCAGAGGACCCCTGAATCCCGCCCTCCCCAGGAACCGGCCCTAAAGCAACCTAGTGGGGAGGTCCCCATGGCAGATGAAGTCGCTGCAGCCCAGGGAGGGGAAGTTCTTGGCTGAGGTCACGGAGCCGCAGGGGCAGCTCCCACGTCCACCCATGTCCCATGTCCACATAGTGTCCTCACGGACGTTGCCAGAATGGAGAAAAAGCCACAGCCCAGATATGACTTTTGTACTTAGCAACCCAGACCGGCAGAGTACCAGCCCTGCAGGGGGCTCTCGCTTTAATCGACTGCTCTGCACCTGATGCTGGACCGAGTCCTCCAGCCCACCCCGCCCCAGCCGGACTCGGAGGACACATACTGACCAGGACTGCAGGGGCGGCCGGCGAGGCCAGGCGAGGGGCCGCGTCAGCTATGCCTCGCTGCACGGAGGCCAGCAGCCTCTTGGCTTCCGGAAGCTCCTGTGCCACAGCTGTGCCCAGGGCTTTCTGGGCCGCCTGGACCTCTTGGTACCTGGGAGGAGACAGGGGACTCGCCGGCCACAGAGCAGGGCAGAGCCTCCTCTCCTTGCCACTCTCTGGGCCCCTGGCTGGAGCCCCAATTGGCGAAGGCCTCTCAGCCTCCTGGGCAGAGCCACCCTGTGCCACCTCCTTTCTTCCTTTGCTCCGTTCACCCACTCTTATCCGAAGGGCTCCCTGGGTTCCATCGAGAATCGCATCTTTTGCAGGAGGGAGGAAAATGTGTCGTGCAGGGCAGCCAGAGGCCCAGGCCCGGTCTTGGCCCAGTCGCACCCTGTGGGTGCCCCTGGGTGTGGCGTGCCCGTCTCCTCCGGGAGTGGTGGCCCCGGCCACCTGACTCCTACGAGTCCCACAGCCCTTATAGTCCCTGGCTCAGTCATCACCAGGGAACAGGGGTTTCCTCCCCTGGCTGCTGTCTGTTCTCTGCTCCCCAGTCCTGCCTCACCTTGGGCACTGCTGGGATGCAGCCCCCCACTTCCTTCCCACCCTCACCCTTCTGGAAGTGGGTGCTCCTGTCCCCAGGGTCACGTGACCTCCCCCAGCCCCGAACCTGAGCCAATCAGAGTCTCTCATCTCAGAATGTGGGGCTCAGGGAGATGTTGGGGACCTCAATGACCCTTGAACTGAGGGGGGCAGAGAGGGACACCCAGAGCACAGATGCTGAGCTGCCCGGGCTGGAGAAGCACAGAAGGAAGCTGGTGCCCGGAGGACAGGCGAGCTGCCTGGGCCTCGGCAGGAGGACTCAGGGCCCACTGCGGAGGATGGAGATCCAAGGCCGAGTTTCAGACCCTGGGACCCCCACATCCTGGCCAATTCCCCAGGCTCATCAGGCTTGGGGACAGCAGCCTCTGGGAGGGGCCCACACCGGGCGGTCTCACCTGTCCTCCAGGTCCTGCTGGGCCTCCAGGGCCACCCTCCCATCCTCCAGGCCCCAGAGGAGCGCCTGGCTGGTGTTGGAGGTCAGCAGGGCTCGGCGCGCGGTGGCTTCGATCTTGGCAGCGGTGTCCCTGTGGCTGTGTGGTCAGAGCCCAGCCATCAGCAAGGGCTCCCGCAGAGGGGCCGGGGGCCTGAGCTCACCCTCCCACCTTCTACCTGCCTGTCATCTGCCATGGCGGGGACTGCAGCAAGGTGCCACACAACCTGTCCCTGCCACCCACCAGCAGCACCTGTCGTCCTTCTGTTACACATTAAAGCATCTCAGTTTAGGCAGTAAATCATACGGTCACCCTGACCGAGAGGGCAGCTGCAGGTGGGAGCCTGGCATTATCACTTTCAGGCTGTGTGTCCTTAAGCAGGTTATCTGACTTCTCTGAATTTGTTTCTAGAAAATGAATCTAAGGTCCCTAGAGCCAAAGGAGAAAACTGTCACCGATTCTGTTTTTAGCATCCTAAGAAGTTTATTTGAGGCAGTGGATTAAAAGAGCCGAATGTCTACTAGGACTGGATAAGCAGTACGGGTAGAACGATACACTGGACTATTACACAGCCACGAAAAGGAAATCGGTAAGAGACAGAAAGCAGATTATTGCTGGCCAGCAGCTGGAGAAGCTGAAGAGAAGTGAGACATGATAAAAAAAAAAAACTTTACACGGTTAGTTCTGGAGATCATAAATATTCTAAAACTGATCATGATGGTTGTAAACTCTGAATATACTGAAACCACTGATTTGTATAGTATGTGACTTACATCTCAATAAAACTTTATCAAAAAGAGCCATCAGATGTTTTCAGTGGAGCAAGCTTGTCCCCAGCACCTCTGTCCATGCTCCCCCTGTGACCTCGCCAGTGACAAGGGCTTCTCTGGACTCACCTGGCCCCAACTCGTGGGTGGGAGCCTCTGGGGGGCTGGCCTTGACCCTGGAGCCCCCGAGAAGGAGGTCTGGGCCCCATGGATTGGCGGGGTGACCTCACCCACCCCTGGGCCACCGGGCTCACTCACCCCCTGGCGAGGGCACGGGCCTCAGTGGCCAGATGGCTCCAGCTGGAGGGCTGTCCAGGCCAGTCCTGGGGAGTCGTCTTCAGAGAAGAGGGGGAGACTGAGGCCTGGCCCGGAAGGGCAAGGGCCACATCTGGCTCAATCATGGGGTCGAAGCGGACAGTGCTGCTAAATGTCTGTTTTTGTTTTGTTTTATTGAGAGAGGGTCTGCTATGGAGCCCAGGCTGGCCTCAAACTCGCAGCGATCCTCCTGCCTCAGCCTCCCCAGTGCTTGGATGACAGGTGTGTGCCACCACGCCCAGCTAGTGCCAGTCATTTTATAAATGTAGAGATGGCAAAGCACCTACATTCAGGGTGTGGAGCTCCCAAACATAGAAATACAGCAGTGTCACCTCCTGGCACCTCCTGTGGCCTCACTGTACGCAGCAAGGGCCGTCACTTGGGGCGGGGCGGGGGCGGCACTGCATGACCTCCCATAAAGGGCATCCGGGCCCAGGTCGCCAGGTCAGGGCCCAGCTTGGTGGGAGAGGGGTTCCCGGTACCAGAGAAGTGAGAGCGGCGGCCGTGTGCAGGAGCTCGTCTTGTGAGGACTCCAGGGTGGCCCCCAGCTCGGCCAGCTGGGTGCAGGTCTTCCCAGCTCTGGCCTGCGTGCAGCGGGCGGCCTGGCTCAGCGCCTGCAGCTGTTCCCAGGCGGCCTTCACAGCGACTTCCAGCCCCGTCAGCTGCTCCAGCAGGGCTCCCCGCGCTCCTGCAGGCAGCCACAGCCTGAGTCACGGTGTGGGGAAGACGCCCCATGAGTGCCCAAGCCCAGGCTCCCAGCCCTTCCCCAGGAGAATCTGCCCATTCTACAGATGCAAGGGATGAGCCCTGGAGAAGGCAGATGAAGAGCCCGGGCCGCACACAGCAAGCCTGTGTGTGGGTCACACACGCATGCGGACTGCGAGGGACCCAGGCCTCCCAGAGCCCCAGCAAGCAATTGTAGGAGCCAGGATAGCAGGGACCCCACTATTCAGGTGGGTCAGGTCAGCACTGTAGCTCCCAATGAGGCTCACGTGTGGGCATCTAAGGTTGCCCCTCCTTTGATAGCTCAGATGTCGTGGTTTATGCCTAGATGCTGCCCCCTACCAGCCTCCTGTGCTGATAGCCGGGACTTTTGGGAGGTGACTGGATTTTGGGGGCTTAGAGCTGACTTGCTACTGGGAGGCGGAGCCTGGTTGGAAGAGGCAGTCACTGGGGGCGGGGCCAGGTTGGGTGTGGCCTGCCCATTGGGGCGTGGCCTGGCCGTTGGGGCGTGGCCTGGAAGGGTTTATCTCCCTCCCTGGGCCTCCCTGCTCTCTCTACTTCCGGTCCCTCATGCTGTGAGGAGCTCTCAGTCGCCAGGCCCTGTGCCATGCTGTCCTGCCTGGGAGCAGCAGCCAACCATGGACTGCAACATGAGGCAGAATTAACCTCCCTTCCTTTGGGTATCATGCCCCAGCCACAAGGAAAGTGATGAAGACCCTGCTAACAGGTGCTCAGCTCCCCTACACGTGGCCACAGGTGCTTCTAAACATAAAGTTCACAAAGCCGTCACTTCACTTTCAGAGAGCTCTCCATGTCTGTGTCACACATTCTCCCTGGCTTTGGCGACATGTCTTCTCTTTTCTTAGTCACTCGTTATTTCCTAGGTGCCAGGCAGGGTGCTGGGGCCTCGGCCGCAGCAGAGGGGCCGGGATCAAGGCAACAGGGCTCTGCCCGTTCAGCACCTGGACAGCGCCCCACCCTGCAGGGTGAGGGAGGCCAGGGAAGAGTCCGCTGGGCTGCCCTGAGCTTAATCTGGACAGGGCTGGGGACAGGCGGAGGGACGCTGGAGGAGGGGCTCATGGGAGAGGACCCTACCCCCTGGCAGTGGGCAGAAGCGGCGCCCGGCTCTGAGCACCCCCTCCCCCCAGCCTGCTCCGTACCTGACAGCAGGTGGTGGCCCTGGTCACTGTCCCCCTGGGGGGCTTCTCTCTGCGGAATGTCTAGTGGCCGCCAGGAGCTGCCGCAGTCGGACCCCTGTAGCCACCCCTCCATCAAGGTCAGCCTGGTCCTCAGCTTGGCCACCTGCAGGGGACAGGGGAGGAAACGTATGTAGGCCGCTGGCCTAGAAGTCCTACCTGATGCCTTCCCTGGCTTCTGTGGGGCTGACCTTCCCAGCGGGCTCCCCTCTCCAAGTCTTACACCAGGCCTCAATGCTAAGTCCTAGTTTGGGTTGGGGCTATGTTTTGTTTTGTTTGAGACAAGGCCTCACTATGTAGCCCAGGATGGCCTAGAATTCATGGAGTTCCTCTTGTCTCAGCCTCCCACATGAGATTATAGGCATGTCCTACCACACTCAGCTTTTTTTTTTTTATTAACACCCAGCTTTGATGGCAAAATCTGACCCAAATTCACTTGGAAGCAAAGCTGGAAAAGGCTGCTTGGGTGTGTATTTACCCACACCGTGTAAATAACCCTGCTGCCCTACATAGGACCAATGGCTGTACTTGCAGGCCAGCCTGCTTGCCCTAGAGGGAAGGAAGCTTCTATTTAGCACATGCCACCCTCTCTGTCTACAGCACCACACATCCGGGAGCCCCACTGTGGCCAGCAAGCGGCTGCAGGTTTGGAGTGGGAAGGGGATGGGGTTACCAAGGCTGTCCTGGCCTGGGTGCAGGACAAAGCATGAGGCTCGGGGAGGGGGCTCTGGTGAGTTCAGCCCACCACTCCAACCCACTCCAGCACCACCCACCTCCCTCAAAATTCTACTTGGGGCTGGGTGTGGTGGCACACTCCTGTCATCACAGCACTCGGGAGGCTGAGGCAGGAGGATCACTGTGAGTTCAAGGCCAGCCTGGGCTACATAGTGAGACCCTGTCTCGGAAAACAGAAATTGTACTTGGGCCCCAGGATGAGCATCACCTCCCCATACAGGGGCCCTGGTTGTCCCTCCCCCCACTGAACCTGAGAAGCTTCGAGGCCTCTGTCCAGGTGCTCAGGAGGGAAGTGCCAGTGGCCTCCTCTTTCCGGTCTACCCGGGACAGGGCGAAGGCTGATCTGGGTTGGCATGGGCCAGGAGGCACGGTGGGCACAGGGGGGGTGGCTGGTGGGCTGGCAAGGCCTGGGGCTGCGGATGGGTGGGCAGGCGGGCTATTCTAGTGCCCAGCACAGAGCTGGCACCCCAGGAGCAAGGGACAGAGGGCAGGTGTGCAGAGCAGGCCAGGGCCGAGGCAGGCAGGCTCACCTCCTCCTCCACCAGGCCGTAGCAGGGTGGGCACTCCTGGCAAAGCGTGCCGCCCGCCGTGGGGAAGAAGTTGTCTCGGCAGCGGTCACACTTGTAGCCCATGAAGCCGGGCTGGCACACGCACGTGCTGTTCTCGTGGCACTGGGCCAGGGCGGCGCCCAGTGGGGAGCACCTGCAGGCTGGGGACCAGCGACAGTGGACACGCGGTGCCCCTTGGCCCTGCCCACAGCCTTAGGCCCAGCAGCCGCCAGGCCCTGGGCAGTCACAGGAGCGGAGTCCTGGGCCCCGGCCTGGAGAGTCCCCTCAAAGCCGGACTCTGTCACTGTCCCCGGGGCCTGAGGACCAGCCATGTTCAGGAGCTGCCAGCCTGGGGAAACTGACTGGGAAAACTGAGGCTCACAGAGGCGATATGGCGACCCACACACAGGGATTAACAGTGGCATCGGGGACAGGGGCCTTAGGCTGCCTCGGACACCCCCTCTTCCCCTGCTCCCCGATTCCCAGCCTTCGCAGGCCACTGCCCCTGCATCTGCTGCCCCTCCTCCAGCGCCACATCCCTCTCCCTGGGAGACCTGCGCCCACCCTTGTCCCCTGCAGTCCCCACAGGGCCCAGCTTCCGTACCCCGGCAGCCCTTGATGGAGAAGCCGAAGAAACCCGGCTGACACCTGTCACAGGCCAGGCCTGCAACGCCGGGCCGGCAGGGGCACTGCCCGGTCTCGGGGTGGCACTGCTTCTCCTGGGAGCCCAAGGGGTGACACGCACAGCTGCAACGGGCAAGGGGCCAGGGCTGAGGCCGGCTCTGGGCCACTCCCCCAAACAGAGGCTGGGGGCAGGCGCATCTTGGAGAGGCCACGGCCCTCGCTCAGCCCCGCTGCCCACCTGCGGCAGCCCCTGCCTGGCTGGAGGTCATAGAAGCCGGGGCTGCAGAGGCTGCAGTCCCTGCCGGTCACGTGGGGCAGGCAGGCACACTGGCCAGTCACCGGGTCGCAGGGCATCTGCTCAGCCACCGAGCCCCCCCGGCTGCAACTGCAGGCTGTGGAGGGAGCAGGACAGGGCGTTGGGGAACAACATGGGGGTGGGGGGGGTCTGCAAACCTGGGGGTCCCAAAGAGGCTGAGGAGCTGGGGGAGCCTCAGAGGTGATGCTTACTGAGTCCCTCTGGGAAAAGGGCTCAAGTCTCAGCCATGTGCTAGGCCACTGGAGAAACAGCTGAGGTGGCACAGGCCTGGAATCCCAGCCCTGGGAGGCTGAGGCAGGAGGATCTCAAGTTCAAACCTAACCTGGGAAACTTAGCAACTTAGCGGGACCCTGGCTGAGCCCTGCACTCCCCATTTCTAAGTTTCTAAGGCACCGAAGCTGAAAGGGACCTCAGAGGAGGGCAAGTAAGTCCCGCTTCCGCGGAGAAAAGGGACAGAGAGGGGAGGAATTGGTCGAGGCTGCCCAGCCTCGAAGCTGGCTGGAGAGGATCCCTCGGCCTCTCTCGCGCACCTGAGCCGGGCAGGGGCAAGCAGCAGGGGCCCAGCCGCGGGTACTCCTACTCGCTACTCACGCCTGCACTTGTCCGCGGGCCTAGAGGCCAGGGCGCTGCCGTAGAAGCCCTCCAGGCACTGCTCGCAGCGCTCCCCGGCCGTGCTGTGCAGGCAGCGCAGGCAGCGGCCCGACAGGGGGTCGCAGTTGCCCAGGGCGTTCAGATCCACGTTCCCGCTGCACTGGCACTGGCGGCAGGGCTGGGGGTCTGCGGAGAGCCCCAGCGGGTCCCCAAAGAAGCCATCATCACAGCTCTCACAGCGCCGCCCTGTGCGGAGGAGAGGGGTGAGTGGTGCCAGCCAGCTGTGCCCAGAGGCGGCGTGGGCACGAAGCCACACACACTGCCCAGCCTCCCGGGGCAGAGACGGCCCGGCCAGGCCCCTGCCTGCTGCTTCCTGGCTGTGTGGGGCAGCCGGCCGGCAGCAGGGTCTCCCTGAACTCCAGCCCCATCTGCAGAGCAGGACAAGCAGGGCGTGCCTCCCAGGACTGCAGAGATGGCTCAGGCTCAGGGCCGTGGTTTCTTTCCTTTCCCTTTTGTCTCTGTAGATAGGTTCTTGCTATGGACCTCAGCCTGGCCTCGGACTCATGGTGATCCTCCTGCCTCAGCCTCCTGAGGGCTGGGATTGCAGGCTGTGCAATCTCGCCTGGCTCCCATCACCACTGTGGTCACTGCCTTAACCTCCATCGCCCTCATCTGGAACATGAGCTCACCGTCAGCTTCTCTACAGCCACCATCTGCCACCGTCCTTCCTGTCACCCTTCCTGGCCCTTTACTCTGTGCTCCCTGGGTGGTCAATGTCACCCTCCCGCCCTGCCCTGGGGGGCCATCGCTTCCTGCCTGGGGCCGCCGTGAGCCACACAAGAGCCGGGGAGTGAGGAGGCATTGAGAAGGTGGTGGCCATGGAGGACACGGGGGGGGGGGCGTAAAAGGACACACGTGTGCACTGCATGGCGCCATCCTCCTTTGCAAACACACCCCTCTCTGCATGCATCCAGAGGAAGCAGGTGTTTCGGGGATCCAGAGCCCCAAACTAGCCACGGCCCCCGGGTGGAAAGGAAGTGTATTGGGGTCCTGCCTGGTTACGTTTCTCTTTCTATTGTTACTCTGCTTCCACTGCAGTGAGTGCATACTGATTTCTTTCTTTTTCTTTTTTGGTACCGGGGATCGAACTCAGGACCTTGCACTTGCCAGGCAGGCCGCGGCACTGAGCTACATCCCCGGCCCTACTGATTTCTAATTTAAGAAACAGCAGCTGTCAGCTGGGTGCAGTGGTGCAGGCCTGTAACCCCAGCCCTCTAGGAGGCTGAGGCAGAGGACTGCAAGTTCGAGCCCAACCTGGGCAACTGAGAGACTCAGCAGGACCCTGCCTCCAAATAAAAGATAAAATGTGCTGGGCACAGAGTGCCGGGGAGGATCCTGGGTCCAATCCCCAGCGGTGGGGCAGGGAGGGGAACAGGAATGTGGCATCATCTAGGGGTACGGGGTCTCACTGGGGCAGAGGGAGGGGTTCTGGGTGTCAGTGATGGCGTGGATCCTGCTTGTCCTCAACGCCGTGGAACTGGACACCAAAATGATGGTGAAAGCCGCAGATTTTATGTCACATATTTTACCATGATGAAAAATTAACAATGTGATATACAAAAGCCATTTAATTGCATGCTGTAAGTGGGTGAATTGTTGGGCATGTGAATATCCCAAAAGCTATTAAAAAAAAATCAGGGGCTGGGGATTTAGCTCAGTGGTTCTGCCGCTTGCCTCGCTAGCGGAAGGACCCGAGTTTGATCCCCGGTACAAAAAAAAAAAAAATAAGATGTCGCAGATGGCATGCAGTCCTGCACAGGAATGAGAAATGAGGGATCCTTGGAAAATTGGGGGGCAGGGAGGTTCTGCCTCACGCGCTACCTGATGGCATTTTTTTTAATGCTGAAAGGTGTTTCTGGTGTTTTGAGACAGGGTCTCACTGTGGAGTCCAGGCCAGCCTTGAACTCACTATGTAACCCAGGCTGGCCTCCAGTTTCCAGTGATCCTCCTGCCTCAGCCTCCGGAGTGCTGGGATTGCAGGCGTATGGCACCACACCCAGCTAAAAGTCAAACATTGTACTGGGAGCTTTTCCACCTCTGCTGTGGGTTACAATCTCCCTGGGAACTGGTCAGGACTACAGACCCCCGGGCTCCACCTGAAGCCACTGAACCCGGCTCCACGGGGTCAGGAACCAATGTGGCCTTTTCAGAGCTCTCCGGATGTGCCCGGGGTTGTGACAGCAACACTCACATGCCGGGGCCTTGACTGTGGGGCTTTCCCAAGAAGTCACCCCTGCCAGCCCTAGCTGGGCTTCCCCCTCTGGCCACACCCCAGGCCTGGGACCCCAGCCCTGGAGCCCAGGCAGAATCAGGGCCTGGGGCCTCGGTCTCCCCATGGACCAGGGCCCGTGGCACAAGCCACTCACCTCTCCGGCCCCGTGGGCAGTGTGTACACACCACCTCGCCGCTCTCCGGGATGGCAGTGCAGGCCGACTGGCCCGGACAGGGACAAGGCTTGCAGTCGTCGGCTCGGCCCTTGAAGGGGTTGCCATAGAAACCTGGCAGGCAGTGCTCACAGGAGGGGCCCTCAGTGTGGTGGCTGCACAGGCAGGTCCCTGAGGGGCAGGACAAGCAGCCACTGGCACCACATCAGCCCAGGACACCCCAAGAGGGTGCATATCCTGTGAAGACGCTCATCCGGGGGAGGAGAGGGGTGGGGACCCAAACACCCTGGGTTCGCAGCCACCACTTGGTGCCGGGCCCAGCCCAGGAGAATCATCCAGCATTTGCCTCACTGTCCTCAACCACAGAACAGGAATCATCGCAGAACTGACCTTAGGGGGATTTTGTGGGGCTCAGGCAGCTCACGGGCCCTGCACCTGCTGGGCAACGTGCTCAGCGTCTCTGTCATCACTAGTGGTTCATTCCAGAGCTACCCCCGAGGCACTGGGGCTCAGCCAGCTCCTTTATCAGTGGCACCCAGGGGAGCTCCACCTCTGATCTACATCCCCAGTCCTTTTTATTTTTTGTTTTGAGGCAGGGTCTAAGTTTCCCAGGGTGGCCTGGAAATTGCGATCCTCCTGCCTCAGCCTTCCAAGTAGCTGGGAGTATAGGTGGGTAACCCCCACCCTGCTCTCTGTGTCCTCTGAATGTGTCCTCAAAAGTGCCACCTGCTCCAGGCCCATGGGTGGGGGTGGAGGGGGTGTGTCCAGCCCCTCCAGCACCTGCTGGCCATGTGCCCCAGGTGCGGTCTCCCTGTCTGGTCCTCTATGGGTGGGGCCGGCAGCTGGAAGTGACCAGCTGCCTTGGGTGGCCGGGCTGGTGGGAGGTGCGACTCTGTCGCTCACTGGCCCTGGGGCTGCCCGGCACCTCAGGTCCCTCCCTGTGTGATGGGACAACAATGGTGCAGGTGTCACAGTGTGGTGCACAGAAGGTGCTGGCGTGAGCAGCAGGCTGGTGACAAGATTTGCTATTTCCCAGTGTTCTAAGTGTAAGGACTTTGGTCACCTGCATTTCCCCAGGGCTCGGTCTGTCAGTGAGGCCGAGCTGCGGTGTACACCGGGTCTGTCTTGGGGCTTGGGCAGTGTGTGAGCTTACTGTTCCCACCTCACAGGTTGGCTCAGGGAGGGCAGTGACTTGCCCAAGGCCACAGCCACTGAGGGCCGGACTGGCATGTCTGTGGCTCTGGACCACCCCGGGAGCTGCTGTCCCGTGTGGCCTGTGAATGCCCTCCTGCCGTGGTCACCTGTCACGGTAATGCTTCTGCTTTTTTGTTTTTTGAGACAGGGTCTCGCTGTGTAGTTTAGGCTGGTGTTGAACTCACTATCTAGCCCAGGCTGGCCTCGAATTTGTGGTGATCCTCCTGCCTCAGCCTTCCAGTGCTGGATTATAGGCGTGCACCACCACACCTGGCAGCCTCTGCCTTTCTGTACCGAACTGATGCCTGGCAGAGCCCCTGAGGCCTTCGCTGAGCTCCTGGAGGAGGGGACTAGTCCAGAGAGGGGGTGGGTGTTGGGACCAACAGCCTGCAGGGTGGCCAGTGGGAGGCCTCACCGGATGCACACTCGGTCCTCTGCCTAGAGCTGACATGCAGCTTCGTGCACGGCTCTTACTAAGCTAGGAGATGCCCAGGCAGGGGCATGAGCATGGCCAGGCTGACCCCGTGTGGGCCCATACAGTACTCATCTCACTGTAGCTAGGTGCCCTGAGGGTGGGGTGCCAGGGACTCACCTGTATTGGGGTCACAGGTGCCATGCTGGTTACAGGTACAGGGAACACAGGAGGCATAGGGACCCCCTCGGGGCGTCTCCCTCTTGTATCCTGGAGCACAGGATTCGCAGAACTGGCCCATGTAGCCCTGGGGACACGAGCAAGTCTCCACCCAGGTGGCTGGTGGGGACAGTCCTTGCCAGGCCCGAGCTGAAGTGAGCCGCACCTCACTCAGGAGTGCCGGACCTGCAGAGCAAGGAGAGGGGAGCTACGGGCCTGTCCTGTCTACACAGGGGGCTGAGAATCAGCTGTGATTTTACACAGCCACATTTTCAGAACGAGAAATAGAAGAGGGGCTGGAGGTAGAAGAGGTGTGATAAAAAATACAGCAAATGTTTAAATTTTTAAAAATGTCTTACAGTAAAAGACACGTTGCCATGAACCTCTTTAAAATCCCCCTAGCTCAGAACACACGCATCCCACTGTCCTCGCCACTTTCTGAGCAGCTCTGGAGTCCTCTTTCCTGAGCATCTTCACAAAGGGTGATAAAAAAGAAATAAAGTGACTGCTGCCGAGCACCATCCACCAGAAAGGGAGCTCATAAAGACAGGATTCTGTGTCCTCATCCACCTTGTTCACGGATCAGGCACCGTGTGACTTCTGGCTCCTCCCCAAAGTCACAAGTGAGACTCAGGACTTCCAGGCAGTCACAAGAGTGCAACTAAAAAACCCAGGAAAGAGGACTCCAGAGCTGCTGCAGGAAGTGGTGAGGACGGTGGGATGAGTGTGTTCCACGTGACGGGGAGGAATTCGAGGGGGATTTCTGGCAATGTGTCTTTGACTGTAATACATTTTTAAACACACCCCAGCCAGTCGTAGAAGACATGCTAAGCACATGTGAGGCCGCAGGTTCCATTCCCAGCACCCCAACAGAGATGATTGGAGAATTTCATGGGAAAATGTCCATTCTTGTGGGATATTAAAGGTACACCAATTTAAGTATCAAAGAACCATCCCCAACCCCCAGATTGGGAAACATTTTAAAGACCAATTATAGCCAGATGTGGTGTCGCATGCCCATGATCCCAGCACTTTGGAGGCTGAGGCAGGAGGATTGCCATGAGTTTGAGGCTAGCTTGGGCCACATAGTGAGTTCAAGGTCAACCTGAACAATGTGGTGAGACCCCATCTAAAAAATCAATCAATCAATCAATCAATCAATCTATATATATTTATGATGGAAGATCAGGACATGGAGAGCTCACAGGGCCTGCCTGGAGCTGGTGGTACCCCTGGACAAGGTTTAAAGTGTATTTCCTAAGCTTTTAAGTAATATAAAAGGTATGGACGCTAATGAATATAACAGCTCAGTAATTTAAATGTTTCTTTTAATGGGAGGATTTTGATTGAAAAGAAGCTAAGTGACATGGAAATGACAGTGTAATTTCTTATCTGCAAGGCAAGTGAGCATTTTCTATTCAAGTGAACAATGTGCTCACTTTGAAAATAAAGAAATGTGACATTTGCGGGGGGGGAACCCAGCCAGGTATGGCTGTAGGAACGCAAAGTAGGAGGTGCTGCTTCTAGTAGCTGAGGAGTAGAGGCTCCTATCAGACCAACCTTTGCGGAAAAAAAAAAAAAAGAACAAAAAAATTAAATAAATAACTATCAACTCTGGGCAAAATATTAAAATAAAGGATGTGTGAATATCGGAGGCAGATGGCAGCAGATGATGCCACTCATCACAACAGAGGCAAGGACGGTCTTTCGGAGGGGAAGCTTGGCAGCTTCTATCAAAATCTAAAATGTGTGCTCTGGGCCTCATGTTTCCGTCTCCAGCTGCTGCACTGAGGGAATTCATGCAGGATGCACTCAGGCCTTGCGAGAGTCCACCTGAGGCCCTGTGTGTCCTGGGGAGCCCACGCATGGAGGTGTCTGTCGCTAGGGGCTGGTGGAGCCCTCTTGGGGGCATCTGCACCACGGAGTCCCACGAAGGGGCAGAGAGAAGCAGCCTTTTCTATGTGTGATGGCGAGGAGCATCACCAAGGTACTGTCAGCAGAAGAAACCGGCCTCAGAATACTGCACTGTGCAATCCAATTTCTACATTGTTTGGGGGGCAGAGAGTGGAGACCGGGTCTTGCTATGTATTCCTTGGACTCTAGGTAACCCTGGCCAGCCTCAAACTAACAGGGGTCCTCCTGCCTCAGCCTCCGGGTGCTGGGATGACAGGCATGAGCCACCATGCCTGGCTCAAATGTCTATATTAAAGACACAGCAAAAGGAAGCTGCACATGGAAAAGTTGAAAAGCGATGTGGCCCCCCAAATGGGATCCATGGGAAAGGCTTGGGGTTGGGCTCTAGGGGAAGGGTCGACGCGTCCGCCTCCGTCTCCACCATACTAGGCGCCTGGCACAGGGGCACCTGGCGTGGAGGAGAAGGCGCCCTGTGGTGCCTGTGACCAGACGCCAAGGGAATGGCTAGAGGAGGTGCTGGGAGAGCAGAAGTGAGATTTCTGGGGCAGAGGAGGAAAGGGGGCGGCTTGGGGGTCCTGGGGCTGTCAAGGGTGGGGGCCCATGCAGTGAGACCACAGAGGGGGCTGGAACCCGAGGGGCCCGAGGACAGCTGGTCAACTAAGCCACAGGCTCCCAGAACCACCCCTGGGATCCGGTGATGGCCTTTGGTTGTCATGATGGCAGGGACACAGGGGCCAGAGATGCCCTGACTCACAGTGAATAGAAACTGTCTCTGTGACTTGCCAACGTCCTATTGGATGCCCAAAGGGCAGAAACATCCCTCCGTAAACATCTGAGCCAGCCAGGCGTGGTGACATGCACCTGTCATCCCAGCACTCTGGGAGGATGAGGCAGGAGGATTTCAGGTTTGAGCCCAACTTGGGGAACTTAGGGAGAACTTGTCTCAAAATAAAAAAATAAAACAGGGCTGGGGATGTAGCTCAGTGTGAAGGGCCTGAGTAGCTTCCCAACTCATAATCCCATTTAGTGATGACTTAGATGTGACAAACCTAAAGGACATGAAGAATAAGGGGCAGTAGTATCCCATGGGACATCTGACACCTGACACTGTGGCTTTACCACGAACGAGCAGTCACCCTGCCAAGTACCTTCCTCCAATGAAGCAACAAAACCAAACCACTGAGGCTAAGGAAATCTTTTAAAAGGACCACGATGAACAGAGCGGTCGAGATGAGCCACCCCTGCCACCCTCCTGGTTCTCCTCTGGCCACCATCCTTGTCCTTTGAGAGTGTCCCCATACAACACCACACATGAGGTGTGATCAAAATGCATGGTGACTGTTCACACTTTAAAATTTGTTACAGGAAAAGACACAGGGCCAGGAATCCCTCTCAAAATCTTCCCTCTGCTTTGAGCACACGGATCCCACCGTCCTGGCCACTTCCTGCAGCGGCTCTGCAGTCCTCTTTCCTGGGGGTCTTTGATTGCACTGCTGTGGCTGTCTCAGTGTCCTGCACTGATGTGAAGCGTTGCCCTATCGCGGTCACTTTGGCTTTGGGGAGGAGCCCGAAGTCCCTCAGTGCCAGATCTGGTGAACGAGGTGGATGAGGACGCAGCGTCATGTTTTTATGAGCTGCCCTTCGTGTCGGGTGGTGCTCGGCAGCAGCATTCACCATATTTCGTTTTTGTCACACCTTGAACATACACTCATGAAAGAGGACTTCTGGAGCTGCTTTAGAAAGCAGCAAGAACCACGGGATAAGTGTGTTCAAAGCGGGAGGGGGTTCATCTTAAAGGGGATTAGTGACAATATGTTTTTTACGGTAACAATTTTTTTTTTAAATGTACACCTGCACCATACATTTTTTTTTTTTGGTACCAGGGATCGAACTCAGGTCCTTGCGCTTGCGCAGCAGGCAGTGACACCACTGAGCTGAATCCCAGGCCCAGCACCACACATTTTGATCTTACCGTGTATGTAAACCCCCGGTGACCGCTGCCCTAAGCCCCGCTGAATTCCAGCACCAGACACTCACAGCGGCCCTGCACCGCCTGCTGCGTGACAAATGGCTTCTGAGCTTGTTCCTCTGGAACCCAGACTGACTCACGGCAGCAGGGACTGTGACCCCTTCCTCACGTATTCCAGCGCGCGCATGCCTGAACGCCAACCATCTGAATTCGCATTTTTTTCTTTTTGTAGTGCCGGGGGTTTGATCCAGGATACATCCCTATCCCTTTTTATTTTGTGGGGACAAATCTCGCTAAGATCCCCACGCTGGACTTTAATTCATGATCCTCCTGCCTCAGTCTTCCAAGCAGCTGGAATAACAGGTGTGTGCCACCATGCCCAGCACAGAGGATTTTTAAAAATACCATTTCATTTCCTTTTCTGTATTCTGCATATTATAGGTAGTGATTTTTTGGAATGCATGTAAGTAGGTTGCAACCAGGAACAAATCAGAGGTTAACTGTCAATTGCGAGGGCCCAGGGTACGAGATGGTGACAAACACTGGCTGATGTGACAACGTGAGCCCCTCTTTTGGGAATTAAAAAAAAAAGGCCTGCTCCTGGGACAGCTTAGGTGCATGAATGACCAGCAAGGGACCTGCGCTCCCCGGAAACCGGCAGGGCAGTGACAGGGGACCACACCCAAGGCACCCGGCTGCTTTGCTGGACACACTCCTGCCCCCACCTGCCAGTCCAGGCCCCACTCTGCCCTCAGCCACCATGCCTGCTGCTTTTATGGGTTACAAGACCTAGCTGGGCACAGTTGTGCATGACTGTCATCCCAGCCCTCAGTAGGCTGAGGCAGGGGGATCTCTGTGAGTTCAAGGCCAGTTTGAACTACATAGTGAGATCCTGTCTCAAAAACAAATACCCAGGCGGAGTTCATCTTGGCAAAGCGGGGACAGTCACCGTCCTGCTGTGGGGACTCAACATAGCCATACAGGCAGGAGCCCAGCCCACTATCCTCGGGGACATGCTGTCACCACTGACCAGAAGAGCTTGGGCCTTGGCCGCTGGCCCGGATGCGCAGAGCGGTGAGGTTGGCGAGGATCCGCTGGAAGTGGAAGGCTGGCAGCGGGGGCTCTGCCTCCTCGGAGGTCTCCTGCAGGCTGTGGGGAGAGAGGTCAATGGGGACCCTGGTGTGGGCAGTCTGGGGGCCCTGCAGCGTGTCTGGGTCCCACATCTGTCTCTCGGGGCCCAGGAGGACACTTACAGGAAGTGGAGCTGTGCCTGCCCTGGCTGCCCGGCGTCCTGGGGTGCCGACTGGCTGGAGGGCCTCAGAGCCAGAGCCAGGCCCGCTCCTTCCAGCCTCAGCTGAGCTGGCGGTGGGGAGCCCCCGGGGGGCACCTGGAAGGTCAGCGTGAGCGGCTGCCCGTAGCTGAGCCGCTGGTCTCCCAGGAACAGCTCTGGGGACAAGAGAGGGCCTTGAGGACCTTCAGAGGCTTCCCCGAGCTCTCTCCAAGTGGCTGCACTCATCTATCAGCAAGCAAACTTTCCAGCCAGAAACGAACGCGGCAGGGGGAGGCTGGGCTGCCTGCGTCCCCCACACGGTGGTGCCAGCGTGCCACCCAGGCGCAGGGGCACGCTGAGCACTCTGGCCCTGCTCTCCTGACAGTCCCATTCATTTTCTGGCACTGGAGACTGAACCCACGGCCTTCACACTGAGCCACATCCCCAGCATTTTTCATTTTTTATTTTGAGACAGGGTCTCGCTAAGTTGCCCAGGCTGGGCTCCAACTTGCCATCCTCCTGTCCCAGCCTCCCAGAGTGCCGGGATGACAGTGTGCGCGACACACCCGGCCTCACCTCTTCTTTATTACCGTGTCCTGTTCCATCCTTACTAACAATGAAAATCAAACTGTCACCCGGCAGCGGCGGGACACGAACCCGGGGAGTCTGCCCCCCCCCCCGGCTGCCAGGTACCTGGTGCTGTGAGCTCCTCGTCTTCGGGGCCCAGGAGGACCCCACCCGGGCTCCATCTTGCGGGCTGCTCTGCGCCCCCTGTGCCCCTGGCGCGCCAGGCCCCGGCTCCTAGACAGCAAACAGATCAGACCTTCACTTGTGTGAGGCAGGGAGCGTGGGTCGCTCAGGGCCCAGCTCCGCGGGGGCGGTCGGACGTCGGGTCTGCCTGGCCTGAGGAAGGGGGCTGCGTCCAACCTGCGGACCCAGCCTCGAGGACGCGGACGTGGGGACCATCGGAAGTCGGGTCCCGCATTCTGCACGGTGTCCAGCAGAGGGCGCTCTAGCCCCGTGTCTCGAGCCACCACTGCGGTTCTCTCGCTGGGATGCCCCGCTCCTCCCTGGGGGACAGGCGGCAGTGGGGTCCTCCGTGGGGCCCACACAGGCTCTGATTTAATGCAGAGACCCGAGCTCTGCTGATTTCCTGCTCCAGAGATGTGGCGGTGCCCCTGAATCGGGACCCCCTCCCCCCAGGGCTGCTCAGTGAGAAAGCAGAGGACCGGAGGCCCAGCAATGGGCCCTGGCACCTGTGAACTGGGACGGGAGCTTCCACCTGTCGGCACCCTGAGACCTCTGCGCGCACGCAGCTCAGCACCCTGCTTGCCACACAGCAGGAGCGCAATAAGCGCAGGCCCCAGACGGAGCCTGGAACCCTGCGTTGAGGGCACCAAGGAGCTAGTCCTCACACCCGCAGGTCCAGCGTGTGCTAGGCACCCAGCCTGCCAACGCTACCCATGGTTCAACCCCTGGGGGTCGGGAGGGCCCTTGAGGGCCTGTGGCTCTCCTCTCCACAGGGTCACGGTGGGTGGGCCGTCCAGCCGGGCAGCACTGCGGCACTGCTCACCCTGGCGAAGGCTGGAGAAGACGTGATGCACCTGGAATCCAGCGGTGGCCGTGCACACCTTGGAGTGGCCATAGCAGAAGCAGCTGCTGCAGCCGGCTGGGTTGTGGGGCTGCAGGTTAAACGTCCCTGGGCGACATCTGGGAGGGATGTGAGACAGGCCGGGGGCCAGGTGAACCAACCAGGAAGGGCCGGGCCAGGGGTCCCTGCAAGGCTAATGTGACCCCAGGGCCACTGGGGAAAATGAAAAGTTTATATGTTTTTAAACTGGCTGTGGTGCCGGGGATCTAGCTCAGTGGTTTCGGTGCCTGCCTCGCAAGCACAAGGTCCCGAGTTTGATCCCCAGGACAAAAAAAAAATCATCATCATCATAAACTGGTTGTGGTAGTGCACAGCTGTAATCTCAGCACTCTGGGAAGCTGAGGCAGGAGGATGTCAAGTTTGAGCCCAGCTTGGGCAACTTAGCAACTTAGTGGAGACCCTATTGCAAAATTAAAACATTAGAAAAGGGCTGGGTATGTAACTCAGGGTACGTAGCCCTGGGTTCCATCCTCAGTAACTAACACACACACACCTGTACATAGATATCAAAACGACGAGGAGTTGTAAAGATAGCAGGGCAGCTCCCATACGCACTTCCCCTGATGCTGCTCGATCAGGGATTGAAACCCCGGATAACAGCGGCTAAAGTTAACTGGATCCCAGGCAGCATCAGGATTTCTCCCGGAACTTTCTTTCCAGGATCCCACCCAGGACCCAGCACTGCACTTAGCTGCCTGTGTCTCCTTCAATCTGGAGCAGCTTCTTAGCCTTTCCTCGTCTCTCTTGACCTTGAACTTTCAAAAACAGCGCTGCTCAGGTGCACTTTATCTTTAAATTTTGAGACAGGGGTCTCACTAAATCACTCAGAACATCCTCCTGCCTCAGCCTCCCAGAGTGCTAGGATTACCAGCGTGTGCCACCAGCCCTGGCTCAGGTGTATTTGAGACGCCCTTCACTTTACACTTGCCTGTCTGATGTTTTCTCATGAGCCTGGGGTTGTGGGTTTGGGGAAGAAATGGACTGAGGTGAAGCGTCTTTCTCATTACCCGCATAGGGACACAAAACCCACGTGACATGGGCAGGAATGTGACCCTCCACTCCCTGGCTCAGGTGCCCCTGCAGGGCTTCTCCAGCTCTCCGTCGCTGAGCTCTAATCCCTAGAAGCCCTCACTGATCCAGCGCACTCAAGGGAGGGAGTTGTGCGCCATCTCCTGGCCGGGGGAGGTAGTGAGGAACTTGCATCCGAACACCTAACAAACCCTTGGGAGGAGACGCAAGTATCTCACTAACATCCGCGTTCAGCTGCGGCTTCAGCCTGCACCAGTCCTTACCTCGATGTTCGAACACAGCCTTTCCTTTCCCTCCACACTGATGATTTGGAATTCTGCAAGCAGGCTTTGTCCTGTTACCTCGTCTATTTATTGGTTCAGTCATCTGTTTACCTCAGTGTGGAGTTGTATTTACTTATTCTCTCGCTTATAATGCGATCCTACGTTATTTATTTTGTTACTCAAACTATTCCAGCTTTGGGAGCTGCGTCAGGGGGCTCCTGTGACCTTCCACATGTCCCCCGGCCCGCTGTGGGTTCCGGGAGGTTTGTGTGGCGCTGGGGATGGAACCCAGGGCCTCCCGCTGTGGAGCCCCAGCCCCAGGCCTGGGTTTGGTTAAGCAGTTCCTTGATTTCAGGCTCGTCTAGTCTTTGCCCTGCCAGCCCTGAACCAGGATTTCTCAGGCAGCCCTTGGGAAGCCCCGCGTTACAAACACAGATTCCTCGGTTATTCTCCCAGGGCTGTGTCCAGCAGGCCTGGTGAGGGCTCTGATTCACCCCATGCAAGCTTGGTGAGCTCACCCCCCAGCCCCCTGGCTTCACAAGTGGATAAACCGAGGCTTGGAGGAGTGGCCCACTCAGGACCATGAGGGAGTTGGGCAGAGCTGAGGGAGCCCCCAGGACTCCGCCCTGTACCTGAGGTGCCTCTGGGGATGAAGACCTGAGACACAGTGCCTGGGGCCGCCTGGGGCTGGCCAGCGTGACAGCCAAGGCCAAGACCAGCCAGGCGCGCCTGGCAAAGGCTTCGGCTGTCAGACACGGGGCCGGGAAGTGTGTGGCCAAGGAGGCAAAGCCGTGGCCTCTGCTGGCACCACTGCCTGAACACTTGCAAGTGGAAGCTCATGGGACACATGGCCTTGGGAAAGCGCTTTTGTCTTATTGAGTTTCAAATGCTCCATTTGTACCATGATAGGGGTGCAAGGATGGCAAATGCTCCAACCTTTGCATAATTGTAAGGTCAGGCCTTCTTGCACCAGAGCACTGAGAAGGATCCTGAGGTTGGCATAGGGCTCACAGTAAAGGCTGCTGTGCTACATTAGTAATGTTTTCCATAGGTGTATAATGGGAGGCTGTGGTGATAGCACTCCACTAGCGATGTCTGCCATGAGTTTGGAATGGGAAGGCTGTGATGGTGTTCCATTTGTGATGTCTGCTCTGGATGTGGAATGGGAGGGCTATGATGGCAGTGCTCCATTAGTAATGTCTGCTGTGGATGTAGAATGAGAGGTCTGAGATAACAGTGCTCTCTTAGTGGTTCTGCTGTGGATGTGGAATGGACGGCTGTGGTGTTAGTATCATATATTTGCTACCAGTATTAGATAAACTCTTCCTATTCTTTTTAGTTCTTTCTTTTTTTCTCAGGGTTCTTTTGTTGTTCTTGCTGTTGGTCTCACTACATAGTCCAGGCTCGCCTTGAACTTGTGGTGTTCCTCCTGCCTCAGCCTCCCTAGTGCTGGGATTAGAGGCATGCACCATCACGCCTGGCCTTCTCAGCATTCTGAGTTTGGAAAAGAAGATGTATTTTCTCAGCTCAGGAAGCACCAGCGGTGTTGGACCAAAGTATAAACCATGTTCTGAAGCCTCGGGGCGGCTCCGCAGATGGCAGATCCAAGGTGCTCCTGGAAGGTGTGGGGCGACAGGGTTGCCCCATCTATGAGGACCATCCATCCCCCTGCTCCTCCCGACTCTACGTCCTTGGTGCCTCGTCAGTGACCCCACGGTCACGTCCAGCAGCTCTCTGTCGAGGGGCTCACCCACCTGTCACACAGGCTGCCTTCCACATTCTCTTTGCAGGGGCAGCGCCCACTGCGGGGGTCACAGGTGTCCAGGCTGCCAGCAGCATTGCAGGTGCAGGGTCTGCCAAAGAGCCAGGATGGGGACAGGTGTCCAAGAAGTGCCCCTGCACTGGCCGTGCAGTGACACCCCGGCCACAGCCTGCTCCTTCCTCCCCATCCTCACCAGTATCCACGCCCCACTCTTCCGCCTTCACCTCCCTTCCACCCACTCAGCCTGCGCTGAGCAGCCTTCCAGCTGCCACCCATCTGCTCACCCTTCCTTCCTTCCTCCCTTACCCTCCCTCCACCCATTCACCTGGCCATCCAGACAACCACCCATCCATCCATCCTCCCGTCCATCCATCCATCCATCCACCCACCCACCCATCCTCCATTCCTTTCATCCATCCATGCACCCATCTGCTCGCCCATCTCCTACTCATCCAACAAGCCTCGGCTCCTGCCCTCACAGATCCCACTGTCCAGTGAGGACAGACAGGCAGATGCTGCACTGTGACACATGCAGCGGGAGGGGATGGACAAGAAGTGTGGCAGCACCACAGATGGCGTCTGGCCAGCCTGGAGAGGAAGCAGTGGGTAGGGGCAGAGGGGGCTTCCCGAGGGTGTAGTGCCTCAGCTGAGAACCAAACAATGAGCAGGAGTTTGCCACACCCAGGCTGGGGAAGGTGGGGCTGGGGAGGAGAGGCTCTGGGGTAGATGAACAGTACGTGCAAAGGTCCGGAGGCCAGGACCTGGGGAAACAGCTGGGTCCTCATGTCAGGGGCAGTTTTGTGGCCAGAGCCATCAAGTATTTTGCCAGAAAGCTGAGACTCCTCCTCAGACCCAGCTTTTCAAATAATAAAGATGTACACCTGTCCCTCCTGCCCCCTCCCCATCTGGAGCCGCCCTCCACCCCAATATGGGCTGGCTTTGCAGAACAGGGCCCCTGCCTCCTGTCATCCTCTGGGGTCTCAGCCTCCCCAGGGACAGGTACCTTTCCTCCTGCAGGATAAGAAACGACCCAGGGGAGGTGGGTGGGGACAGCTGGGGTCTCTCCGCCCTACCTGCAGCCGCCCTCACTGAGGGAGTGGAACCCGGGCAGGCAGCGGTCACACTTCCAGCCGGTCACTGAGGGCTTGCAGGGGCAGGTGCCTGAGGCATCGCACTGGAGGCGCCAGGAGCCTGGAGAGGGAGGCGCTGGGCAGCAGCGGCCAAGGCCAGCTGGAGTGGGGGGCTGGCCAGGGCCACTCACCTGCTGGGTGGCAGTCGCAGGGCCGGCACGGTGCCCTCTGATCCCAGCGATAGAAGTTCTCCTCACAGCGCTCGCAGTGCGGCCCGGCCGTGTGGTCGAGGCAGTGGTGGCAGCGCCCGCCTCGGCCCGTGCTGCGGAAGAGCTCGAGGTCAAAGGTGCAGTCCTTGGAGCGGCCGCTGCAGCTGCAGGCTGTGGGCAGGAGGGGCAGAGGCGTGCGTGAGCCACCCTGGCCGAGCAGGAGGGGGCTCTGTGCCAGTCTCCTCGCACTGGACAAGCAGGCTGCTCAGGGCGAGAGTGCCCAGGATGGAGTTCAGGCTCAGCTTGGTCAAGGACAAGGGGACTGACTGACTCATCCTCCAAAAACTCAGTTAGGGTCTCAGGACAAGGAGGACCCCATACTAAACAAGCCCAAATCACGTGTGCATGGAGGAAGTCACTGCTACACTGAATGCGAGGGCCGGGTGGGAGGGCACTAGCCCAGAAAAGGGAGGCTGAGCAGGCGGCGTGTGGTGTGCAGCACGGGGCAGTTGAGGAGTCAGACAGGCAGGGGCCGGCTGCTGAGGTGAGCAGTCTTTGCCGGGCGCAAGGGGCTCTGGACGGTTTCAGTACCTTGGTCCCGAGATGCCTCGGGGATCATCGTCCTCACCTCGCCCCTGAAGCGCCATGAAATATCTCGCTTTTATCATTGCTTTGGCATTGTTCTAGTATGGCACAAAAGACACCTTTCTTTCTTTCTTTCCTTCTTTTTTTTGGTACCGGAGATCGAACTCAGGACCTTGTGCTGGCGAGGCAGGCGGTGGCACCGCTGAGCTACATCCCCGGCCCAAAGGACACCTTTCTACTTGCAGCTTCCCATTCTTGGTGGTGTCTGCACTTACACCCTACGGCAGGAGTGCACACAGACACGACCCCCGACACTCACGCAGGCACTCGTTGGCGGCCTGGGCGGTGCCCCGGGCCCACGGGCGGTCCTGGAAGAAGGGCAGGCAGCGCTCGCAGTTGGCGCCCGTGGTGTTGTGCTGGCACCGGCAGACCAGCCGCCCGGCCGCGTCGGGACTGCACTCGCTGGCGTGCCCGTTGCACTTGCACCTGGGGAGGAACAGGGCAGAGGGGACCTGGGCACGGCGGGGCATGGGTGCCCTGGGGTCGCTCTGTCCCTGCTGTGCGTGCCCCAATTCCACCCCGGCCACGAGTGCCCACTGTCCACCTGGGCAGCGCTGGCAGAGAAGTGACCGCACCGGCTGGCGTAAGTTCTGTGCACGACCAAAGCCGCTTCATCCCCACCCCGAGCCTACGGATGCCCATCAGGAAGACAAGGACACCGAGGGCCAGCTAGGGCCTGGGAGGGACCCCAGCAGAGTCACCTCGGTCTTGCGGTCGGGGTGCAGGGGGCACAGGCAGTGGTGTGGGGCCCAGGCAGGCCCCCTCAGCTGTGTCTGAGGGGACAAAAGAGGATAGCTCAGACACATCCCAAATCCCCAGGACTCTGGGGCAGCCCCGGCCTGCGTCCTCACAGGACCCCAGGTCAGGAGTCCCATGGATCCGGCCAGGACTCAGAGGGGCTGGGGGACAACTTGGCGTCCTTGGTGAAGTTGGACCCCACGCAGCCACCGTCCCTATCCAGAGCAGCCGGGTGCAGCCCCAGCCAACCCCGGGCGGCCCCAGACCAAGCAGGAAGCTGGAATCCTCACCGGAGCCTCACATGGAGGCAGCAGAGACCATTTCTGTCCCCACATCCCAGGTGAGCAAGCTGAGAAGTGGCAGACGCTGAGGGGCAGAGCTCCAGCTGAGGTGGTGCTGCCTGGCTCCCTGCTACTGAGCTTGGGGCCACAGCGCCGACCAGCTGCTGAGCCTGCAGGTCCCCAAGCTTTCCCTGGTTTGGGGACATGGGGCATGGGAAAGACCCACAGTTCTGCTTGCCCACGGGCCCAGGGTGGGCAGCCAGCACCTCACATTGCCAGCACGGGTGAGGCGGGCACCGGCCATCTTGGGAGACAGTGGTCAGGAAAGTGACGAGGGACCGCCCTGTCCCGAGAGGGTGTCACGGACTCTCCTCCCCCTGAAGCCCCCGAGCGGAGGAAGGTGCCTTCTAGCCCTCCAGCTGCCGGGCCACCTGTTCCATCCCCGAGAGGACAGCAGCCTGCCCAGCCAGCTGCGGTCTGAGGGTGGGCCCGCTGCACAGCTGGGGCCCACATGTTCTCCGGCGGGAAGGCCTGAGGGCAGGCACCGTCCCGGGAGGTCCAACCTGACCACGGGTCAGGGGTCTGCCCCAGCTTCCCCGGAGCTCGCAGACACCCTGAAATCCAGGCACTGGCCACATCCCTTCCCGTCCTCCAACGCCACCCCGGTGTCTCCGAACCCTGGGCCCCAGCGCGGGTCACCGTTCTCACTGTCCACTTCCACAGCCCATCAGGGGACACGTGGAGCTGCCGTTCCATCCCACGTGGCTCCTGCCCCTCCCTCCCGGCTGGCCGGGACTGCAGGGCCAAATTGCCTGGCTCCCACCCAACTGCAGAGGTGGACTCGGCTCTCCTCAGCTTGCTGGGTCCTCCTGCACCCGACCCCATCAGTCCCTGGCTGCACTGTGACAGCCTCTCACGGACCACAGGGTGGGGGTGCGTGGCCCACAGCCCTGACCCCTTCTGCCTCAGCCTCCCCTCCCCTGCTGCACTGCCTTCACATGTGCCCAGACTCAGTGTGAGGCCACTCCCTGTCCTTGGCACCCCGTCCTCATGAATCCGGGGCACGCTGACATGTTCCCAGCCACCACTGGCTCCTGTCTGCCACCCCAGGAGGCTGGCAGGAACACACTGTCTCTCTCCATCTCCTTCCTCGATAGGCACATGCAGAAGATGCCGTCCTGCCTCCCTCTGGGCTTGACTGCTCCAGACGCCCTGGGAGGCAGTAATGTGATGAGGTGGACAAGGATGGAGGCTGCACCTCGGGTGCCTGCTTCCTGGCACGAGCAGGTGCAGGAAACCAAGTGGCCACAGGCTGTTCTCACCAGACCCCAGCCACTGCTGAGAGGCCCTGGCACCGGGGCTGGCATCAGTGCAGGGTGTCTCTCTCTGGGCTGGGCAGTCACATGTGCCAAACAAGAAGGGGGCAGGGACCCGGTCCAGAGAACAGCAGGTACAAGGCGAGGGCTCGAAGGGCAGAACCAGCGAAGGGCAGAGAGTGCGCTGGAGCCGGCTCGAAGGCCTCACATGGGGCTGGGTCTGTCCCTCCTGTGCTCCGGGTCACCAAGCTGCCTCGCCACCTCACAGCAGCCACCAGCAGTCCTGACACGGCCCCTCCTCTGCTCTGGTGCCCACGTGGCCCCACCTACCTGCCGCCCACTGAGAAGTCGGACACGGCATAGTAGTAGGACTGCAGCACCCTGGGGTCCCTGAAGATATCGTCCCCGAACGTGTTGAGCCGATCTAGAGAGACGAGGAGCTCGGTGCTGGTGACCCAGTCCTGGCGGGGAGGGGGACCCCGTCAGCTGGCCCACAGGGCCGGCCAAGCTGGGACAAGGCCCAAGGATAGGGCAGAGCTAGGAGCCTGGGGCCACAGGGGTGCCTCCATCTGCCTGTCTGGGGAATGGGACAGGGCAGTGCCACCCCATGAGGCTGCGGGAGGAGGGTGCCCGTGTGGCAGTGAGCAGCAGGGTCCGAGGCGGGCAGGGGCTCAGCAGGCCCTACGGTGCAGGGTCCCCTGCCTTCTCCAGCCACTCCCCCCATCTAGAGGACAGGAGACAGCTGCTGGGCCCGGAGACCCTGCCCTACGCCCAGGCCTGGCAGGGGCTGCAGGACTCCCAGCTCATCCCTGCAGAAGCCCCCAGCACCCCATGACACCTCTCCCAACTGGGTGTAACCCACAAGGGCGAGACCCAGGTCCTCCACCCTCGCTGTGTCCCCAGGCCTGGGCCCCGCCTGGCACACAGCTGGCATTCAGCAAATGCTCGCTGCTGTCTGAGCAACTTCCCATGGCAGAGCGTGGTGCGGAAGTGGGGACCCACGTGAAGGCTGACATTTTCCTCTGCCTGCTGTTACAATCAGGCGCAGCTCTGGCGGAATATTAATCAGCATTTTAATTCAGCCCAGGGGCCGCTGGCTTAGCAATCAGGACATCAGGACACAAAACGAGCTCCCAGCAAAGTCAGTCTTCCCACCCCAGCCTGACTCGGGCTCCTCCAGGCCTGAACCCGGATCTGCTGCTGGCTGGGCATCCGTTAGCCCGGGGAGGGCACAGCAGCACCGACGGCGGGCACCTTGGGTCCTGTCACTCCCTGAGTTACCTGAGACGGAGCTTCTTAAAGGTCAATGTGCACTCAGGGATCTGGTTAAAATGTGGCTTGGATGCACATTGAGGTGATACTCTTAAGTGAAATAAACAGGACACACATGTGTAAATACCGAGCAGTTTCTCTAGTGTGAGAAACTGAAAGTATAAATAAGGACTAAAAGGTATAATAGATAATGTGAAATAGGAAGAAAAGGGGCAAAGGGGAAGGGGCAGTGGGAGGGGTAGGGGGAAGGAAAGAAGGGAATGGAATTCATATGAGAAAATGGAAAAATAGGAACAAAGTCTTTGTAAATAGGGAGGGATGGAGGGGTTGAAGGGAGGGCAGGGGGAGGCGGAAAAATAAGAACCAAGATGGAGTATGTAAAGGTGCAAATTTCCAGTGATGAATGTCATTATATTGTACACCTAAAATGTACCAATAAAATTAAATTTTAAAAAATGTGGCTTCTGAAAGATTTCTGAGTCTGTGCGGAGCTGGGGGTGGAATCTAGGGCCTCGTGCATGCTGCGCAAGCTTCGGGAGTCTGCACCCCGGAGCCCAAGTCTCTGCCAAGGGTTCGGGGGCTGCCAAGCCTGCGGTGCCCAGAGTGGCTGTGGAGCCCGGAGCCAAGGCCAGCTGAGGCCCAGCGTCCAGGCTGAAGCACTGGGTGTGACTCTGCTTTGTCCCCTGGTGTCACCAGACCACTCGCACCTCCAGGTGTCCCAGCTGGCTCTGTTGTGTGCTTCATGCTCCCATCCTCAAGGCAATGCCACAGTGGGTATTTTATAACCTCCATGTACAGCGAAGAAACAGGCTGAGCCAGGTAGCATTCTGGGGCATGACACTGCCAGTGCTTGGCAGAGCCAGGATTCGGGTCTAACTGAGCCCAGGGCCAAGCCTTAACCACAGCCCAGCCTGCCTTCCCGAGCAGAGGCTGAGGTCTCCAGGTGGCAGGGACCCTCCCCTAGGCTCCTGTGCCTGCTCCTCAGCCTGTGACCCGCTCGGCATCTGAACACGGCAGCAACAGGACAGGGCTGAGCCCTCTGAGTCGAAGGACAGGAGCTGAGAGGGACCACTTGCTCCTTAGCCAGGATGCCAGGGGGTCCTCAATGCCTGGAAGGCTGAGGTGCTGCTGTAGCCAGGCAAGACCCTTGCAGTTGTTTGGTTTTGTGTCACTGTGTGGTTTAGGCTGGCTTTGAACTCACTATGGAGCCCAGGCTGGCCTCAAACTCTCAGTGATCCTCCTGCCTCAGCCTCCCTAGTGCTGGGATTGTAGACGTGTGCCACCCAGCCTGGCAGCTTTTGCAGTTTGTAATGGCTCCGGCTAAAAGTAGAGTGGGACGCGGGTTGACTTTGGCTGGACCCTGGGATACAGAGTGAGGGGCCAAGGACACGGTGGGCTGGGGCATGGCTCCAGGGAGGATCACTGGCTCAGGGTGTGTAGGGCCCTGGGCTCCAGCCCCCGCACTACAAAAACAGTCTGAATACAGGAAGCAGCAGGGGCAGACGGCTTTGGTTCCGTGGTCCAGGGAGGTCCAGGGAGCACCCAGCCTGGTGCCCTCTGCCCCTCCTCGGGGACATGGGACCCAGCAGCCCCATGGACGTGTCCCTCCTCCCATCCCGCCCCAGGGCCTCTGTCCAGGGGCAGGACACGGGGCAGGGGAGGTCCCTGCGGGGAGCAGCGGGGGACATCTCTGCAAAGGTCATTTCTCCACCAGGGACAACGGCCAGGAGACAGAGGCAATGAGTCAGAAAATCTGCCGCCAGCGGCCTGCAGTGCAGCTGCCCCATGTGACAGGAGCAGGGACGGGGCGGAGGGGCCTTGTCTCACCTCGGGTGACGTTTTCTGATCCACAGAGCTCGGGGCCCCACGGGGAAGAAAGAGACCTTAAACAAAACCAGGCCGAGACACGGGGACACCTTCCACAGCACAGGCAGGGCCTGGCACTGGGGAGGTGGCTTTGTGTGGTACAGGGAGTTCGGCCGCTGCCCTGGTGTGGCCTCAGGGTCTGGAGCGTCCTCCTGACGCTAGCATCTCCCTTGAGTCACCCCGAGCTGCTGCAGAGGGAAGCACTGTGGGAAGGACCCTCCTGGAAGAAACAGCAGGCAGGAGCCCCATGCCTGGTTCCCCAGGACCTGCCCTGGGCGCCTCCTTTTGCTGATTTCAGTCTGTGTCCTCCTACGGCAGTGAATTATCACCGCAAGGACAATGAACTTGTGGGTCCTTGCAGTGCATCCCTGACTGACAGTGGCCTTGGGGACCCCTGCCAGGCCAGCTGGCTCCAGATCTCATGCTGTGCAGCCAGGACAGGATGTAACTTCTTTCTAGGCCCCAGAGCCCCTCTGGAGACAAACAAGCCCCCATTACCCCAGAGAGGCAGGAGGTGGCTTTGGACTCCGCCCAGCCATCCCTGCCCCACAGCATGAAGCTGGGCACATGGGGTGCCAGTCCCGCAGGGCCACCAACCTGAGTGCACCCATGCGGGCTGGGCTGAGGGACCCTGAGCACTCACCTTCCGGGGGAGCCACACTCTATCCACCATGCTGCCCCTGGCCCCTGCGTGCCTCCCCTGACTGCACGCAGCCACTGACTTCATTAAAATTCATTGCATTTCAACAAAACGAGCTGGGAGTGGTGGCCCAGGCCTCTCAGGCTAGCACTCCCGGAGGCTGAGGCAGGAGGATCACACAAGTCTAGACCAGCCTAGGCAATCTAGTGACTTAGCCAGACTCTGCCTCAAAATAAAAAATAAAAAGGGCTGGGGATGTAACTCAGTGCAAAGGTCCTGGGTTCCATTACTAGTACTATAAAAAATTAAAAATAAAGGGCTGGGGATTTAGCTAAGTGGTTCTGCCGCCTGCCTCGCAAGTACAAGTACCTGAATTCGATCCCCAGTACCAAAAAAAATTAAAAATAAAAAAAGAAATGAAATGCACATTTCGAGCACCTGCGACCACAGTGGGAGGCAGTGAGGGCTCAGCGGAAGGTTCCAGAAAGACCACCAGCCAGGCTGGACACTTTGTCCACTCTGGGCCACCAAATCATCTGTGCCCTGCAAATGCCTTTGTCCCTCCAGACCTCGGCTTCCCCATCTGTGCAGGGAAGGGGCTGCCAAGGGGCTGTGCCCTGCACACTGTGGGGGGTACTTCCCATGCCACATCAGACCCTCTCCCACTTCTTTCTGCCCTATTCTTGTCCCTCCCGCCCCATACTGCATGCTCTGCCTTTCAGCTCCATCCTGGAACTTTTGGGGGTCCACAGCTGGGACAGGGGCTCACTGTGCAGTTCAGGCTGGCCTTGAACTCACCGCATAGCCCAGGCTTGCCCCAAACTCCCAGTGATCCTCCTGCTTCAGCCTCCTGAGTGCTGGGACTAAGGTGTGCAACACCATACCTGGCTCCCCATCTATTTCTTTATCAGGCAACCAGGGAAGGTTTGAGCCATTTAGGGCAGCAGTGTGAAGCCCACGCAGGCTCACAGGCCCCTGGCTCCTGCCATCCCCTGGAAGCCCTGTACCAGCTCCATGCAGCCCACAGCCCTGAGTCCTCCCTAGCCCTGTGCCCCGCTGCTCTCTACCTGCAGCCCTGGGCTCTCCTCGAAATTGTAGGCGCTGGGCCGGCCCTCCAGGGTGGAGAAGGCCACGTTGCCCCCGCTCAGGGGGGAGATGTCACTGAACTCGGATGTGCAGAAGGCCACCCGCTCCTCGTCGCCAGGCCGAAGATAGAGGCCCTCGGGCTGGCCGTAGGTCTTGTGGCAGGAGGCACTGTAGTACTGGTAGGGCTCCCAGGGGCCGTCCTCGTGGCTGCGCTTGTAGATGGCGAAGCTCTCGGGGCGGCTGGTGTGGAACTTCAGCCTCACGTAGCTGATCTCGTAAGCCTTCCCTGCAGCGGGGAGACACACGGCCATTTCACAGCCAGGAAGGGAGGTGACACCTCAGTGAGCAGCAGGGAGCTCTGCTTGGACGTTTGTTTCTGTGTGTTTTTGAGACAGGGTCTCACTGTGTAGTGCAGGCTGCCCTTGAACTCCCTACATAGCCCAGGCTGGCCTCAAACTTACAGTGATTCTCCTGGCTCAGCCTCCAGAGTGCTAAGATTATAGGCATGGGCCACCACCACACCCGGCTAACACCAAATTTTATCTTTCAGAGGACACCACTGAGAATCAGTAAAGGCATCCACAGGAGAGGAGAAGGCATTTGCTGGCCACATATCTGACTTGGACTTGTATCTGGAATATGTAATGAATTCTTACAACTTGACAATGAAAAGACAAATAGTCCAACTTAGAAATGAGTAAAGCGTCAGAGAGACAATTCCCTAAGACAGAAGGACGGCCGGTGAGCACTGGAAAGCATGCTCAACATCACTATCTGCTAGGGAAACGCACAGGTCCATGCTGCACAACCACCGCACCCGTCCCAGGCGGCAACGACAAAGGACAGATGGCGCCTGGGGCTCGTAGGGAAACTGCAGCCCTCACACAATGCTAGGGGCAATGAAAATTGCTGCTCTGCAAAACAGTGTAGGAGTTCCTCAAAATGTTCAACAACCCTGTTTAAAGCAGCATAACTCATTGTAGCTAAATCTTGGAAGCAGCCTCTAGATCCATCAACAGATGAACGGATGAAGAAAATGTGGTCTCTACACAAAATGGAGTACCACGCTGCCATGAAGAAGGGTAAACTTGAGTCATCTGTAAGAAAATGGATGCCCCTTGAGACTATAATGTTCAGGGAAAGAAATCAGACACACAGGCTTCAGTATCACATGGCTTCTCTTATGTAACAAACCCCAAAGCATAAAGGACAAAGTAAAAGATGGATAATGGGAAGTAGAGAGATCTTTCTCAAAGAAGACAGGGGCCAAGAGATGAAGGGAGGGGGCTGCAGGGGGGGGAAGGGGAGACAAAGAATTAAAATGTGTTCTGTGCTCGCACCGACTCCCCACAAGGAATGCAATCCTTATGTACTGCAAACACGGACAAACTAAAGAGAAAAAGTTAAACAGCCGGGCACAGTGGTGCACTCTGGGAAGCTAACTCCAAAGAAATGCAAGTTGAGCCCAGCCTGAGAAACTTAAGTGACTTTAGCACGACTGTCTCAAAAAAAAAAATTTATTTTAAAGTCTGAGTCTGCAGCTCAGGTGAAGGCCCTGGGTCCCTCCCTAGTGCCCCTGACACACGCACAAGTTGGACAAACCCAGCCTCCATGACCGGAATGCCTTCTCCTCCTCGCTGCTCGACCTTGAGAAATGAAACGTCAGCCCACCCAGGATCTCCCAACCCACCCAGGATCTCCCAGCCCACCCAGGATCTCCCGCGGATTGAAGGCGGAAGAGGGATGACCGGGTGGAGGGACACGGAGACATGGGGGCCACGCCTCCTCCCACCCCACACGGAGCCGGGACTGGGGACCCTCAAGACAGGAAGTGCATCACGGTCAGGAAGCGTCCAGGGGCAGGGAGGAAGGGCCACAGGACTTCTTGTGAGGCATGGAAAATTCCTGCAGAATGCGAGGGTCGGAGACTCTAGTGTGAATGCAGGAAAAACCAATGGGCTGTGGTTTTGCCTTTTTCTTTCCTTGCAGTGCCGGGGATCGAACCCAGGGCCTCACACATGCCAGGCAAGTGCATGCAGGTGTGCATCACCAAGACGCACCCCAGCCCTGGACTGCAGAGTGGAAAGGGGTAAAATGAACAGTGTGTGAGCTCTATCGCCACATCTTTTAGTACTGCTACCATCAAAAACCCAGAGAGCCAGGCGTGGTGCTGCCTGTCTGTAATCCCAGCAGTAGGGAGGCTGAGGCAGCAAGTTTGAAGCCAGCTGGGGTTTTTTGTTTGTTAGTTTGTTTTTGTTTTATTTTGTTTGTTTGGGTTTTTTGGGGTTTTTTTTTTTGGTACCGGGGATCGAACTTGGGACCTTGCACTTGCAAGGCAGGCTCTGGAACCACTGAGCTAAATCCCCAGCCCCCAGCTGCAGTTACATAGTGAGTTCAAGGCCTACACAGCAAGACCCTGTCTAAAAAAAATCCAAACCCAAACCAAGCCAAACCAAAACCAGACAATAACAAGAGGTGGCACAGAACCTAGGGAGAAATACCTTATGCACTATGATGGAAATGTAAAACGGAAACAACCTGGCAGTGACTTAAAAAACTAAAATCAGAATAGCCATATGATCCAGCACCCTCAGAAACTGAAAGTAGGGCCTGGAAGGAACATTGCAGGGCCTGGTTCACAATGGCATTGTTCACAATAGCCCCAAGGGAGAAGGAACCCACGAGTCCATTGGTGGAAGAAAAGATGGGTGGTCTACACACAGTGGAATATTATTCAGCCTTGAAGAGGAAGGCAGTTCTGACCCGGGAACCTAAAATACGGTGAACTCAGGGGACATTACATTAAGTGAAAGAAGCCAGTCACAGGGCCAGGGATTTAGCTCAGTGGTTTCGCCGCCTGCTATACAAGCGCAAAGACCCGAGTTCAATCCCCGGTACCAAAAAAAAAAAAGAAGCCAGTCACAGAAAGTCAAATACGGCAGGTTTCCACTCACAGGAGGCCCCTAGGGTAACCAAAGTCTCAGAGTCAGACAATGGCCAGGGCTTCGAGGATGTGGGGAGGCGGCACAGAGAGCCAGTATCTAACCAGAACAGTCTCTGTCTCGCCACATGAAGAGCCCAGGGTCCCATGGTAGTCATGGCTGCACAACATCAATTGCTTAATGCCCTGGAATGGGACACCTACAAGCAGTTAGGATGGTAAATGTATGTGCATTTTACCACAATAAAGGAAAAATGTAGGGAAATAAATGCACTGGCCCCTTGGGGAGGGAGTTTGGGGACACAATGAACAGCAACAGGAATATTCCCGGCCTTTGACAAAGGAACCCGACTCTGGGAATTCATAAAAGGAGACTCACGCAGAAAAACTGTCATCAGGCCGTTTCATACAGTGAGGGAATTGGGGACATTATAGGGGATTGATTCCTACAGCAGTTGATAAAAAGCTTGTGATATATGGGGAAAGCTGAGCGAAAAAAGCTGAATTTAAAAAAAAGATACAAGACAGTGTGTGTAGTCATCAGTTTTGAGGGGTTTTTTTAGTACTGGAGATTGAACTCGGGACCTTGTGCTTGCGAGGCAGGTGTCAGAACCACTGAGCTAAATCCCGGGCCCTAGTTATCAGTTTTATATTTACATAAACCCTAAGAGGCCAACCCAGGAGAGGAGGCCCACATCTGTGATCCCACCTGCTCAGGAGGATGAGGCAGGAGGATTCCAAGTTCAAGGCCCATCTGGGCCACTTGGCCAGACCGTGTCTCAAAATAAAAAATGGAAAAGCTGAGGATGGGGCTCAGCAGAGCGCCTGCCTGGCACGCGCACACCCTGGGTTAAACTCCAGCACTGCAGATAGACCAACCTTTTGATTCAGGGCTCCCCAGGAAAGATGCCCAACAGCTAAGTATGTTTGTCCTCTGGACCTGGAGTGATTCTTTTCCTCCTTTTTCTGTTTTTCTATATTTTCTCCAGTTTTCTCTCATAAAGCTTGTTCTAATTTAAAAACTGGAGAAAACACATTTTTTACACAATTTTTAAAAAAGCAACCACCCTGCCATGTTCCATTTTAAGATGTTTCCACAGTGCCGGCTCGGCTCAGCTTGGCACCCGGCTCCAAGTTCCTTCAAAGACAGCCGGCGTTGCCAGCAGAGCCAGGAACCTGGGGTGGCCTGGGGTGGGCCAGATGTGGGGGGCCCCACCTGGGGTGCAGGCGGGGGTGCCTGAAAACAGCAGCCGCTGCCCGGAGTGGAGACGCGAGCCGCTTACACGCGGGCTGGGGCCACGCAAGTCAGGGCTCTCAGGCACCAGGCCAGGAGCTGCGATGGCAACAATACAGCCACGCGGCAGGCGCTGTTTGCCGGGAGAGCTAATTAGGGGCCCCGAGAATCCACTTAATCCCCGAACCAAACCGCCACTGCCAAAGGCACTCAAGGCTGGGAAAGGAAACAGCCCTAAAACCATCTACATGGTGAAGAGGATTCAACTCAGGGCCCCGACTTGGACCGACCCCCGAGGCTTCCAGGAGACCTGACAGGTACGTTCCCCCCAGAATGCCACTGTCCCCATCGTTAACTGGGAGACGGGGTGCTGGGACATCGAAGCCCTTTGAGACAGGGTCTCGTTATGGAGCCCAGGCTGGTCTTGAACTGGCAGAGATCCTCCTGCCTCAGCCTCCGGGGCGCCAGGATTGCAGGTGTGCACCCCGCCCCTTGCTAAGTCCTTTCTACACCTTGCACAGGCGAGAGCCTCACACAGCCTGTCGCTGTGAGCCGCTGAGGGGAAAGGACGCCCCCAACACCACGCACAAAATAGCCGAGTCTCTACTGAACCACAGGCCCCCAAAGTCATCCCCCAGAGCCAGCTCCCGCCACCTGGGGCCCTGCAGAGCCCAGAGAGAAAAGCCAGCTGTGAAGGGGTGCCAAGTCCCCACTGCCACCCCAGCCTCGCACCAGGAGCTCCAGCCCCAGGACGATGCTGATGCCGACGCCATGGGGAGAGAAGCTGGGCCGGGCCACGTCCACCACCGACCAGCAGATTGGCTCCAAGTGCCGGGCTTATTCTGGGAAAATGGAAACAAAACAAAGCCCCTTAATCAGAGCCATCTGGGAGTGGGGTGTGGGGGACAGCGGGGGGCGGCTGGGAAAGAGGAGGTGAAACGCCCTGCCCGCCTCGGGCACCAGGACCCACGTGTGGCTTCCCAAAGGGTCCCCAGCCTGGCCACCCACTGCCTGGGCCCAGCTCCCGGCGATGCTGGGGCCGCGGAGTCCAGAGAAGAGCTGGAGGTCCCCATGAGCGCAGGAAGATCAGAGCCCAGAGCCCGGCCACTCTCTCCTGCTCCCCCCCGCCAGGGCCACAGGGCCCCGACATGCACCTCAGCGGGCCGGTCTACTGTCTAATGGGGACACACAGGGATTCTGTCTGGCAGCTGCCAGGCCCAGGGGAAGAAGAATTCCGAGGTCAGTCTGAGCTGAGCCAGGACGAAAGTGTGCAAACCACAACTGTCCAAAGAGACAAGCCCTGCAATACACTGGGGAGACGCAGGAGGCTGAGGCGGGAGGATCTTCATGAGTTTGAGGCCAGCCTGGACTGGAGAGGGAGACCCTGTCTCACTAATAAGTGACATATGTACAACACAAACTTCACCACCATAATCCTATTCAAATGTCCAGCCCAGCCGCCTTAAGTGTATTCACAGTGTAGTGTCCACCATCCCGCCCCACATCTTCCCATCTGGACCCATCAAACACAGACTCCTCAGCCCCCTCCCCAGCCCCTGGCAGCCCCCATTCTACTTTCTGCTTATGATTTTGACTGCTTATGTTCTCCGAATTCACCCACGTTGCAGCACACATCGGGAGCTCCTTTCTGTTCAGGGATGCATACTATTCCACCACAGGGAGAGACTGCATTTTGCTAATCCTTCATCTGTCCAGACTTCTAGGTTGCTTCTACCTTTTCACTACTGTGAGTAATGCTGTTATGAACCCCACAGATGTCTTTGCTTTTGGGCCTTAAATTTGGGGCCCTCGTATAATGTCTGAGGGCTGGCTGATGTTCAGGACTAGCCTTCAGTCAGGGTGGGGTTGCAGCAGGAGTTGGTCCCAGATGTGGGCCATGATTCCAACAGATAAAGGCCGGTCACTGGGCACGGGGACTGGCACAGGGTGGGCACTCACTTGGTCTCCGAGCATGCTGTGGTTACCCGAGGTGGGGAGAGGGTGGGTGGCCAGGGTGGCAGGGCGAGCAATGCCTGAGTGGTGGTCCTTTGGTGGGCAGGCAGAGGGTGGCAGCCAGACAGGGCTGTGAGGCCTGGAAGAGACTGGGACGCGGCCTGCACCCCTTTTAGAGCAGGGACCCCAGAGGGAGGCCATCCAGGCCCTCACCTCGACCATGACCTCCGAGGCCCAGAGGCCCAGGGAGAGGAGAGGGCTCGACTGGCCCTAGCTCCGCAGGCCCAGGCAGACACCCCCCACTCGGCAGGGAGACGCGCTGGAGCCTGGCCCCAAGGCTGTCGGGGAGCAGCAGGGTGCCCCGTGTCCAGGCGCCCTCACGCCTTCTCCTCCCTGGAGGCCTTTCGGGTCTGGGGCGGCAGCACCTGTCTCTCGTCAGCTGTCACCAGCTTCAGGCCTCAGCCAGGCTGCTGGAACCCTCTGGAGACCTGGGGGCCCGGGCCGGAGGTAGGAACAGCACTGCGACTTTCCAGAACTCATCTGCCTGGTCTTGGGGTCTTTCTGAGGGTCCAGGAGATTCCGGACACCTTGGGACAGCACGTGAGCAGGAAGGGGAGACTTTGTCCCGTATCCCACCAAGTGGACTGGGATCTTCCAGGTTCACGTCTTTATGTATTTATGTAGTTTTGTTTTTCAAGACAAGGTCTGGCTCTGTAATCCAGGACAGCCTTGAACTCCTTACATAACCCAGGCTGGCCTTGAACACATGGAGATCCTTCTGCCTCAGGCTCTTGAGTGCTGGGCTGTGCCTGTTCTCATCCTGGATGACAGGCCAGGCCCCAGCTCCACTACCCCTGTGTTGCCGGCATCCCCAGCCGCCTTGGAGGAGGCTGGGAGCCGCGGCCTGCTGTGGCCTTTCGTCCCAGACAGGAAGGCCTGGCCAGGCCACCCGGCCACCGCAGGAGCCAAAACAGATGTTGGAGCCACAGGGGGCTGGGAAAGCAGTGACCTCCATCCTTTCCCTCCCAGGCCTCCCCACCACAGCCTCGGAGGAGTGGCCGGTGGGGACAGCAAGGGGGGCCCAGATCAGGGCTCCCACGCGGTGGCCCCGCCCCCCAAGGCCTCTCCTCCCGTAGCGTCCGCAGTCCGCCCCTCAGCCTGAGCCGGGCGTCCGTCATCTCTCCACTCCTCCCTCGTTCTCCTGTCCCCTGCACTAGCACCTCCCGACTCCACAACCTGACGGAGAGAGAGAGTGCTGGCCAGAGACAGCTGGGGTGCGCGCGTGCGTGTGTGCGCGTGCGTGCCTGCGCGTGCGTGCCTGCGTGCACCCTGCTGCCTCTGCGCTGCACACTGGGTCCCCCGGGCCCCAGGTCCCTGCTCCCAGGAGCACCTGCTCTGATGGCCCTGACGGGTGCTCTCACACCCTCCCACCAGCGCCCCTGACCCGAGCCTGGGTGCCGCCCCACCCACCCATGTCTGCCCTGGCTGAGGCCCCAGGCATCTGGACCCCTGACGCACGTGTGACTCCCTGTCACGGAATGCCGCGCTGTCTGTCCTGTCCCGCATTCCTTCCCCTGTGGCCTCGGGCTCCTGCCAGCCCCTGCCCTGCCCCACTGCAAGCCCCTCCTAGAGGTCCAGATGAGCAGGGAGGGTGACACGGCCCCCGGGTGGCAGCCCCTGGTCTGTGAGGGGTGCAGTCCTCCCATCACCCTACCCCGGGTCACCTCCTGGGTCTCCTGGGGCCCTCACAACCCACCCAGCAAGAGCCAAGCAGCGGTGGGCAGCGCAGCTGTCCACACCCAGCTGTGTGTCTCTCGGCAGAATGCTTAACTTCTCTGAGCCCCAAATTCGCATCTGGAAGACGGGATATGGTTCCACCATCCCTCATCCAAACTCACTGTCTCGGGACGCGTTTTGGAAGCCAGAGCTTGTCGCAGTTTACAGAAACAAGCTGCCTGCCTGCTTTGCGTCGCACACTGTGTCACCCCCAGCATCCCCTGTGGGCTGCAGGCCAGACTCAAATGAGACTGCAGTAGTGAGACGCAGGAATATTCACTCTCTCCAGGATAAGCAAAGCTTATAAATAGCCGTAGGTCATCCTTCACTGCCAAATGAAGTTATAAAAATACTCTGAGTTGTCAAAGCTTTGGGAGATTCTGATCTCTCACACAGTGTGGTATAAACACCCCTCCCTGAGAGAGTACCACAGGTCGAGGCAGGAAGGGTGCCAGGCACGGGGAAGGGGACCAAGGTGGACACGGGCAGGGGTCAGGCCAGACTCGGAGGGGGAGATTCTGCTTCCCAGCTGCCTAGGCCAGGCAAAGGCCACACCAACTGCTCGGCCACCCAGCAGCAGGAGGGAGCGGGCCTCCCGCCCTGAGGGCCACACAGCTCTGGGTTGGCGGTGAAGGCCTTGTTCCATCACCAAAGATCTCACGCAGCCTCGGGGTCCACCCAGTCCCCGAAGCCACCGAGACAAGGAGCCCCTGGGGCATTGTCACCCTGTCCCCGACAGTTGTGGCTGCAGGCTGGAAACTTACTGGGGTTGTCACTGCACCCCCACCCAGCCCTGGGGAAAGGGCTGGGGGGCTTCTTGCCCTTGTCCCGGCCCGGCCCCAGGGCCACCCCGCCATCAGCCCTTCCAGGTACTCAGGGGCCCCCGCTGAGTCGGGGTCCCTCGGGCGCACCGGGTGCACGGCCGCTCCTTACCCAGACGCAGGGTGAGGGTGACGGAGGTGGGGTACTGCACCCCGAAGGCCATGGACGGGCTCTGCCACCAGGTGCTGTCGTCGGGGCTGTGGAAGTCGGTGAGGTAGGAGGCATTGTGGTGGCGCCCGGGGTCGGCGGCGTCGCAGCGCTGGCACTGGGTCCCCGCGCCCGGCGCGCGCACGTGCGGGCAGAAGTCCTCGGCCTCCGGGGAGCCGCAGGTGTGCGAGGCCGCCGCCCGCCGCCCGAACGCCACGTTCTCGAACTCGGGCCGGCAGCGCCGCGCCCGCCCCGCGCCGTCGTAGCAGCCGTCCGCGCCCGCCGCGCCCACCAGTGCCAGCGCCAGCGCCAGGCCCAGCACGACCGCCGCCATGGTCCGTTCTGCCGCCCGCCTTGGCGCCGGGCCGCCTCCCTCCCGGGCGGGACCGCGGCGGGGCGGGGAGGGGGAGGGGCCGCGGGAGGGGCCGCGGGCGTCCCCCCCCCGCTCCTCCCGGCTCCGCGCCCGATGGGGATGGGGTCGGGGCCAGCGCAGCGCTCCTGGCCCCGGGTGGAAGGCGCCCCCAGTGGGCGCGGTGGCGCAGGCCTGCAGTCCTGGTACCCGAGCTCGAGGCCGCCAGGACCCTTAGCCGGACCCCGTCTTCCCCCTCGCGCGCTTCGTTCTCGCGCGCCTGCTCCTAGCACCCACGGGCGCCCCAGGAGGTTGGGGACACAGCTCACCTGGTCTCCACACAAAGACCACCTGGAGGCCTTCCTGCCCTTCCCCAGGTATGAGAAGTAAACCAAAGGAGAGAACCACAGGCTCTCATCAATAGCTGCTAGAGAAGGGCCGGGGATTTAGCTCAGTGGTTCCGCTGCCTGCCTTGCAAGTGCAAGGTCCCAGTTTGATCCCTGGTACCAGAAAAAAAGAAAGAAAGAAAAAAAACTGCTAGAGAAAGCATTTGATCGCATTTAGCGGCCATTCCCAGCAAAATTCCAAGGAAAAACAGAAACACAAAATGTGATAAAAATACAGGGAATATTTAAATTTTAAAAGACAATCTTATTGCAGTAAAAGACACACTGACCTTAATTCCCCTTGCTCCTAACACACACATCGTTCTTGCCAGGTTCTCAAGCAGTTCTGGATGACATCTTTCATGAGTGTTTACAAGATGTTATTTTTAAAAATACAGTGTATTCACTGGGTGTGGTGTCGCACACCTGTGATCCCAGCCCTCCCAGGCTGAGGCTGGAGGATCGCCACAAGTTTGAGGCCAGCCTGGGCTACATAGTGAGTTCAAGGCTGATCTGAACTACACGAGACGAGACCCTGTCTCAAATAAAATTTTAAAAGATGGTGAATTCATCAGCCCTGGCACCGTGTGACATCCGGGTCCTCCCCAGTCAAAATGACCATGAAAGGGAGACATTTTGAATCGATTCAGGACATCAAGGCAGCCATGACAGGGCAACTAAAGACACTCAGGAAAGAGGACTCCAGAGCTGCTGCAGGAAGTGACAAGAATGATGGGATACCTGTGTTCAAAACGAGGGGGAGGATTTTGGGGGAGATGCATGGCAATGTGTCTTTTACTGTAATAATTTTTTTAAAATGTAAACATTCACCATATATTTTGATCACACCCCACATACTTCCTAAACATGCTAAGAACTATTTTTTCAGTGAGCATCATATTACACAGTGAAATTCTAACAGTCTTTCCACTGAGATTAGGTACAAACTGGGGGGAAGGTATTCAAGGAAATTTTGAGAAACAATAGTGATTGCAGTGGAGTGGTTAACTAGCAGCCATTGAAACATAGCTAAAACAATGTGGTTCTGGAAAAGACCACAGAATAGATTCGTGGAATTGAAAAGAGATTCCACAAATAGATTCAAATAGAGTCAGTATATGAAACCACTACTGGTATTTGATGTTATTTTGGAAATTCTAACTAATGCAATAAGACAAGAAAAATTTAATGATATAAAGATTTTTACCTTTTGTTTCTCTGAAGACACAGCTAGAAAATCTGAGCGATTCTATTGAAGGATGATTAGCATGATGTTTAATACAGTGGCTGAACACAGGATAAAGGACAAGAACCAATATCAGTATCCATTTAGAAAATATAGCCAAGGATGCCATATATCCCAATGACACAAGTGATAAAATACCTGATGATAAATTTAGCATGAAATGTGCCAGATAGAAATGAAGGAAATTATAAAACTTTACTGACAGACAAAACACCCGAGAAAGAAACCAGCATCCATCCTAATGGGATTATAAAGATTTAAATATATAAACTATTTCCAAGTTAAATATTGATTTAATGTAATTCCAGGTTATGTTGTGCTGGTGTTCTGAAGGCTTCTTCATTAAAATGTTCTTTTATGGTCAAGAACACACTGACATCAGCTGCCAGTGCCCATCCAGATGCTCTTCTCTGGGCCCTGCTCCCTTCCAAAGCCACTTCATCCACCAAGCACAGGACACATAGTGGCCCAAAGTACTTTTAGGTGCCCACAAAATGTCTTATTTTATTTTACTTTTTTGGAAACAAGGTCTTGCTATGTAGCCCAAGCTGGCCTTGAACTCACAGAGATCCTCCTGCCTCAGCCTCCTGAATGCTGAGATTGTAAGTATATGCCACCATGCACAAGTCTGGTTTATTTTTAAAGTCAAAAGAAAAAAGTGAACTTTTAGATAGAAAATGTTTTAATATATGTTAATATATTTGTCTTTATAGCAATGCAGTGCTCAAACACAATTTTTTAAAATTCTTAATTACAGGGCCGGGGATTTAGCTCAGTGGTTTCGCCGCCTGCTGTACAACTGCAAGGACCCAAGTTCAATCCCCAGTACCAAAAAAAAAATTCTTAATTACGGTGGCATATACACAACATAAAACTGACAATCTTGGCCATTTTTGTTTCATTTTGTTTTTTGGTACCAGGAATCCAACTGGGGACCTTGCGCTTTTGAGGCAGGGGCCAGAACCACTCAGCTAAATCCCCGGCCCAATCTTGTCCATTTTTACGTCACAGTTCCGTAGTACCAAGTACACTCACTTTGTCCAGCCATCATCACTGTCCTTTTCCAGAACCTTTGATCTTTCAAAACTAAAACTCTGTACCCATTAAACAACAGATCCTCAGACCCTCTTTCCCCAGTAAAAGAAGTTTTACCATTTCCTCTGAATAAATGGGAAAATGCCCAGGCTCCAGTAAAGTCAGAATTTGTCCGTGATCACGAGGCTGGGTTCACCGGCAGGAGGTGGAGTTGCAATCCTCAGCACGGAGCACTGCACGGTGAGTTTGCAGTATCGAGGTGGCCAGGCACTCTGGGAGGCTGAGACAGGAAGTTTGCAAGTTCAAGTCACCTACAGGGAAACTGGCCAACGTGCAGGCAGCAGGAGGTGACCAAGAGCAGGGAATGGTGATTATGGGGACAGCAGAATTTGCTGACTTTTAGTGTCCCTGATGATTTAAAGAGAAAAACGTGACCAGCCTTGGGATCTGTCACCAACCCAAAGCAAAATTTGAAACCCAGAGTGCCTTGCAGGCAGCAGCATGTCCCAAACCCTCCAAGTTCAGCAGCCCCAGGGCCACTGACGACTAGACTCGGGGTCTGACTGTAGGACAGACTGGAATCTGGAGAGGACGCCTGCTCATCTGGGAAGGGGCCTGAGCCAGACTCTGGGTCCAGAGAGTGAGGAGGAGCCAGAGGCTTGGGGTCACCTGGGGAGGTGCTGGGCTTGCTATGGAAGGAAGGAGCAGGACTATGCCCCAAAGGAATCTGGGTAGCTGGGTGTGGTGGCCACACCTGTAATCCGAGCACTCTGGGAGGCTGAGACAGGAGGATCAAAAGTTCAAGCCCAGCCCCTGCAATTTAGTGGCCCAGCAAGTGAGCAGCAGGTTTGGGAGGAAGTCTGAGCTTGGCTGAGGGCAGAGCCATTCCGTGTGGAATTCCAGGACCAAAATGTCATCTCTAGTGGCCTGAGGAGGGACGAGTGGACCTTGCCAAGGGACTCAGCAGCGTGTGCAGCAAGACTGAGCACTTCCGACAGGTAAGAGGGCGCGTGGGCCCAGTCTACTCTGTCCCTAGCCAGGGACAGTGAGGGGGGTGGGGACGAGGAGCCCTGTGTCCTTCCTCTGCGGCTCCAGGACACAGCTGACCCCCCCACCCGGCCACCGTAATCATTCTCAACCAAGGGCTCTGCCTGAGCAGATTCATTGGTCATCTTCTCCATTGGCGGACTGACGAGGCTTTTATTGATTTGCTTGTGGAAGCAAGAGAGAGGGCCGGTGCTGTGACACAGAAGCCACTAGCCACAGGGCATTTGGAGTCGGACACACCTGGGCTCAGACCCCGCCTCCCCTGCCTTGGGACTCTGGGGGTCCCTCAGCCTCTGCCTCAGCCCCGGGGCGCTGCCCTGGGTGCAGAGGTTGCAGCTGACAGCTGCTCCTCCCAGAGCCCCTGCAGCGAGGACCCGGATGTGATGGCGTCCTGGCTGGAGCTTAGACGTGGGGGCGAGGTCGTGTTCTGTCCCTGGGCGGGTTCTTCCTATGCTCCCAGGCTACAGCGTGTGCCCAGCAACCCCTGAATGGTGGCAGCAACCGTGGCCATGGCAGTAGTGGCTTCCTGACTGACCTCTGGCTGTGGATGGCAGTTAGAGGGGAGGGCAGGGCTGCAGAGGTGGAGGGGCCTGGCCACCAGCTCCCCCCGCCCCTTCCCCTGAGCCCTAATGCCCTGTGCCCAGTCCTTCTCCTGCCTGAAGGTGAGCTCTGCCATGAAGACCAGCCCCTGCCCTCCTGGAGGCCCCTGAGTGCGAGAGAACGCACAAGCCAGGGACTTGCCAAGGTGGGGCCCACCTGCTCGCAGAAGGGCTTGCAAATAAAGTTTAAAAATGTTTTAAAAGCCTGGGTTCTGGCTCTGTGCTGACAGTCACTTATTCCTCAGCAGACGTCCTCGCGCCCGCTGTGTGACCTCACTGTGCTGGGCCGGGCATGAGGATGTTGCCCCCGTGTCCCCCTCAGAGTCCTCACGGCCCCCTCGGAGCAGTGTCCAGGGGGGCAAAGGGCCGTCCCACAGGGCAGGCTCAGAGCATGGCCTCTTCCAGGTGCCTGCTGGGGTGGCCGCCCTGGCCAGCCGTCCCCAAGGGTGCCCTGCCTGGGCATTCAGGTCACCAGCCACCCACCTGCACCATGAGCTGCAGGATGGAGCTGGGCTCTCTCGCCTCCTGGTGGCCAAGGACACTTGGGGCTGTCAGTGAGCAGCTGCTTTGCCTGCCCCACTCTGTGCCTGTGTGCGAGCGTGCGCGCGCGCGCGCGCGCGCGTGTGTGTGTGTGTGTGTGTGTGTGCACACATGTACATCCGGATTGCACTG